TACTAGAATTAATTATTTGAAATCTCTGAAGAATCTCATTATAATGTACAAATCCCGGCAGTAGCCACCATAGCGCTTTCAAAATTTCCCAGAGGGAGTTTTCTTGTTGTTTTTGCACTTCTGTGTGCAGTAAGACAAAGTTAACATTCGGGGAGAGAAAAGAAACGTTTTTTCACCACACTGAATATAAAAAGTTGAGTATTTCCCCAGGTGGGGTCAAAATGAATCCTGCATAGATTCTCTATTGAGCAACATGAAATGTTTAATTATCAAAGCATGACTGTGCGTTCTAAAAAGCCTGGTCATTACTATGCAGATAGAGTTGAAAAGGTCACTTCAGTCAGGTATTCAGGGGACTTGGTGGAGTGTTGGAGCTAATGAGACTTCCTAAGACCATTACCACTCAGTCTTTATCTTCTCCTCTCACTGACCGTCCCTAAGTTTGACTCTGAGCTTTGTTAAAAGCAGGAAAACATCCCAAAGCCACTGAGACAAAGACAAAACAGTACTACATGGAAAAATACCAGAAGAATGAAAGTGTTACAGTCTTAAGTTACTTCTAAGTGTTTTTGAATGTCTGTAACACTCAGTCCTCTCTACAAAGCTCATTTTAAGATCCAAATTATAGGGAAGCTACCAAAACACTTTATACCCCTTTATAACCGGTACAGAACGGCTTACAAAATGCTTCAAACAAACTCTTTGACATAAACATTTTGACATGTCTCTCTACATTGAATATGCAGCCAGACTGTAGTTACAGCCAATATCCCTGCATATACCAGTTTAGCTGTACTTCATTCTGATTGGTCAAACCTCCACACAAAGGTTTTGAATCCTGAATAGCTTGAGCATCTCCAGGGATAACTAGATCAATCCACAGGAAGAAGTCTGGCTCTTTTAGCCAGTTGATGGTTACTGACAGCATCCGTATATAACACAAAAGATTTTAACATCACACTCTGTATATTGGAGGGCACAAAACGTTCAGGTTTAAGGCCTAGCTGACCAATCACTAGCAGAGGAAGTATGATGAGAGGAGAAAACTGCATAAACAAAGTGACTCAATCAAAATCATTGGTTAAAGTCTTGATTGTCATTATCATGAAATACTGTAGAAACTGGAAGGTAGAGGACATGTTAAACCACTCTGGCTGTAAAGCACCATGGACTGATGACAGGAAGGCACAGTTAAATAGTGTTAAATAGTTCATTATCATCTTAAAACAGTGAAGATGAGCCTCAACTGTTTAGAAAATCTTTTTGAAAAGACTTTAACATTTTAACAGACAATCTGAATTAACTCTGGATACTTCCTCTCTGTGACCTGATCAATAAGTTGACCTTTAGCTCTGACAGTTAGTATTTCTGTTGCAGGTGATTCTTTAACGGAGACGCAGACTTCCTAATAATTAGTGATAACGAAGAGGCATCAAGCCAAGTCGGTATTTTTTCCAAGGTTTAAATTAACTTACCTACCACAGCACTACAGGTTCCATCTGATGTATTTACTGCTGTAGCATCTGAAGACCCATAACGAGGCATGGACCTGGAAAATTGTTTATCAACAAAACTAAAAAGGACACGCCCCAAAACAGTCCTCTGAGGGATCTGTGTTTCAGTTTTATAAATAGCAGACTTCATATTATGGATCACAACACACTGTTGCCAACCTTTAAAATATGAAATCAACCATGAAAAAGTGCATTTAGAAAAATTAAACAAAATTCAAGAACTCTGTGCTTTCTACATGACCTTTACCCAGATACTGTTTTGTGTTTTCTTATATAAAAAAAAAAACAAGTAGCGGACTCTGTGAGATGATGATGTCCAAAACCAAACTATTGAGGATCTAAATACTGATTCAACTCCAAGTAATCTAGTAGTAGTTCAGAGAAAACCCTCTCCGAGAGGGGACTTAACGGTTCCACAAGATGCAAATATTATCTTTTTGTTTGTTCAAGAGATAAGCCCTTCTGTCAATCCCAATAAAAACACAATCTTCCTGTTTGTCTGTATTTTTTATGTCATTAATTATATTGACGGATGAGACAGTAAAAAGACAAGATTAACTGCAGCGTGCGCTGTGATAAGAGGTTTAAGTGGGATAGACAGGAACCATTTCTTTCTTATCTTGATGATAAATTCATCATTAGGCAATAATTAGTCCATTTTGTTGCTTAGAGGAAGACAAATATCTCATCATTAGGGTTTCTATGGCATCCCCGTGAGCACATATTTTCCATTGTTCTGCGCTGTCACTCTGAATGTTGTCAGCTCACAGTCACATGAATGCTTCAGACAATAATGATGGGCCAGTTTCATTTACATGGTTTTATAGATTTTACAGGTTGCTGCAAAGATGTTTTCACAGAGCAGAGGAACAAAAAGATCAGAGGGTTTTTTGTTTCCTTTTGTGACAAAGGATCAGGATGCATCCTAAAAACAGTACCAAAAAAAGATGTGTTTGGTATCTCCTTTTTTTTTAACAACACCACTTGAAAAAAAAAAGTCATTCATAAATTAAGCTTATTTCAGGGTATAAAAAAGAAAATATCAAACCTAAGAGCAACCTTATGAAAATTTCTGTAATGCTGAACACGCATTATGGGTATTTTCCCTCCATAATAGTGTTGTTGTGTGGTACTTCTGATTCTTTAAAGTCATACTTAGATTAAACAACCAGTCAAGAGTGACAGAGACAACTGCATTACAACTTCCAAACATTATCTCACATCCAAAGAGAAATAACCATGACTACATCACACTTTAGCAGTGTGTCAGCTGCCACAGACACAGAATAAATGGAGTTCACTTATGAAAGACACTCAAGAATAACATCTAATAAATTAGCCGCCCAGTGCATCTCTAATGACTCCCCCCAGTGAGATGCGATGAGTAAACACTTGAAATGCTATAAATGACACAAGGATATCTTCACAAGTTTGACAGAAATGCACTTAAGTATTGGAGGAGCATGAACCTCATGTTACTGAACTGCATAAACTGGCCTAGTTTGCAAGTTACATCACAGAGACTTGTTAGCAGCTGTTTACAGAAGCAGAGCAATCTGGTATGTTTAATTTGATTCGCAGTAATTACTCCAGTAGATCTACTTCATTTCAAAATGCTAATTCATTTCGCTGGAACAGAAAGAATGTCTCTGTCTAAATAACCATAGATAAATCTATTTCCTTGAAAGGAACAGATGTCAGCTGAAGGATGCCCTGCTGAGTTACGATCCCTTTTTTTTGCGAGTGTTTATATTAAACCAGCTCACAGCAGAGTGTAAACACACAATGTCAGGATGTGCAATGACACTCACTAGTGCAATCTGTAAGCACCACCATCAAAACAGTGTGATTTTACTCCTCTTTTTCCATTTTTGCATCTACCTAATACCTCAGACAAAGAGCAGATACTCTATATCCCTGTGAGGGTTAAATGTGTTTCAGTTTCATCAGGAATAACAACAAAGAGAAAGAGAGAGAAAGAGAGAGAGAGGTGTGAGGTCTGTGTGGAGCAGGCTGGAGTGGAGGCATCTGTCACATTGGCATGTAAAGTTTACATGATGGCCAACCTGGCCAACCTGAGCTTTGTGTGTGTGTGTGTGTGTGTGTGTGTGTGTGTGTGTGTGTGTGTGTGTGTGTGTGTGTGTGTGTGTGTGTGCGTGGGCCCCTCTCTGGTATGTTTTTTGTCTGCCCATACTAACACAGTGGACTTCAATCCATATGTCTAAACTAACAATACCATGAATGGTAGCTCTGGTATTTTTAAAAGCTCTTTGGAGACATACACAGGAATGAGCTTCATACAACAGGTAAATCATTTTTGAAGTAAAGCTTCAGTGGGAGGTTTTTAGATGGGTGTGAAATAGACCTTATGAATAGTGATGCCCTCTGATGAGCTTCATTTGCAAACATGACCATTTGTGACATGACTGACTATTTCCATATTGTCATTACTGATGTCTGAAATGCTGCTGTGTGAGGCAGGGGTCAGACGAGATTATTTTCAGCAGGTTTAATTAAGTCTCAAACAATATTTCATGAAAGTGTCAGTTAACCATTCCTGCATTGATTTGCATCATGTGCCATGATTGAAGTGTCACTATGGCTGTAGCTCTTAATGAAGCAAATGATAACTGAAATTACATTTTTAGGTGTCCCGCACATGTGCATCAATCATCAACATTATTTAAGCAGAAAAGAGTCTCACATTTGGAGTGAATGTCAAGGCTCTGTTTTGCTATTTACTCTCATATACTGTTGGTTTAACCTGATATCTGCTGTCATCTTCTGGTCAAAATACAAACTGCATATCTGGTGTATTCAAAATGCTGTCATGTAAAGATTGTAACCACATGTAAAGGTGCTTTTCCAAAATAAACAGCTGTGATTTGCCTCCATTTGACCCCAAAGAACAAGAAGCCTAAAAATAAATATATCTTAACTCTTTCACATAGTCAAAGCTGAATTATATCAGATCAGGCTTAAATATTGTCTGTTTCTTTTTGTCGGTGTTTTTCTCTGTGAACAGAAGGTGGCAGTAAAGAGCCGTCTTCATGATGGTCCACTTTCTGTTGGCAGTCCGTGTTGCCATGTCTGTTTTTTTATAAGCGAATTTTCTCTGTTGTTTTTGGAGTTGTTATGCGTATCCTCTGAAATGTCTTTCACTTACACATCTGAATGTCAAAAACAAACACTGAAATACTGTACTCCAAGATAAAAATACTAACCATATACTTTACATCTGTTTTTCTAGTTATTTTGCTATATTTTTTTAGTAGAAATAGTCTAATAAAGAAGGTTCATTCATCGTGTCACTGGTTCGCTTTTTGCTTGTGTGGAGCATAAACTGTATAATTTGTAGACTCACTTGCTGGCTGAGAATATTTGTTTTCTCGCGATATGTGGCATACCCGTGAGTTGGAAGGCAAGCCGGGTCTGCAGCTGTCAGTGCGTGAGAAACAGACCGGGGGTCTCCTGTAACCAGCGAAAATGTTCAAAACAGAGGAGCTGAGAACTTTAGTTGAAAAGCGACTGATGGCGGTTGCTGAAGAAATATTCAACATATTTGAGAAAACAATCCGAGACTATGAGGCGACGGTTTTACGTTCAAAGCAGGAGGACGACCAGCAGCAGCAGCGAGGGCTGATGAGTTCGAAAGGTATCATCACTCACTTTACCTTTGACCTCGACTCAGCACTTCAGCCAGAGACCTTTATAGTTTGTTTTGGGTATCATAAAGTACAATGGAGCATTCAGGCTTTCAGACATCCCCATAAATACTGAGCCCCTGAGAGGAGACATGAAGTAGCCATTTTGCATCCCTGTAGGGGGGTGGGGATGCAAAATGGCTGTCAGTTGCAAAATGTGCCAGATTGTGTTTTTCTTTGTGCATTTGAATGATTAAGAATGAAGGACGTCAAAAAAGAGGGCAGGAAACATAGTTATCCTGAACAATAAATCACCATTCTGGAACAAAATATTTTACTAATTCGTACTACTCGTAATACTAATTCGTTATGTTTTCTCCCCTCCCCTGAACACGAAATGGCAATTCTGCAATAAGTTACACTAATAAGTCTGAACTCTCCTATCGTGTTTATTTTTGAGCAATATTCTGCTATGTGAACAAGAGGCACGTGAAGTTTTTATAGAAAACTGTGATGGTTTTTAGTAGTTGCTCTTAACCTTTGAATAGGAGATCTCCAATTTGGAAGTGTGCCTATTATCTATATAAATTCATGTGACAATGATGACCAACAACCCTCTGACTTAAAAACAAATAAACCGAAATGAGGAATGGCTCAAAAGAAGTTTCGATATTTTAGCATGTGTCAGCTGGGTTGTTTATTCCTGGTTTCAGAGATTTGTCACAAAGTGGACTATTTACTGTCACCACAAAGCATTCATTTAAGATGAGTAGAGAGAAAGAAAAGATGTTTTTTTTTCTTAAATTTAGGTAAAACCACAAAGTTGGAAGTGATCCCATAAATAACAGTTACACTGTGCATTTTTGGCACAATTGCACAGAAGGGCAAGTACATGAGTCAGTCTGCCTGATGTTGTCTCTCAAAAAAGATCTGAATTGTCATCAGCATGTACAAAATTTGTGTCTCAATATAACCTGACATTTTTTTGTATATGTTCTACCTGTCTTTTCTTGCTCATTGTTAAATTAATACAGATCTGATGTCTTTTTTAGAAAAACTTATGCCTGTTTTTTCTTTTCTTACGCAGTACTCCCAGCCCCCCTGCAGCTATGTGGACAGGAGAGCAATGTTCCCCCAGAGCAGGATCACTGTGAGACAGAGACTGAGCCGCAGCAGATTAAAGAAGAACAAGAGGAGGAGCTGGCTGGTGATAAGCAAGAGGATGTTGATACCAAAGATTCATTTTTCAACATAATTTATGTGCAAAGAAATGTTGTTGATGGAGAACTGAGTACACATCCAAACCATGACGTTCAGAATGAAGTAAACACTTTGTCATGCAACTCATGTGACCAGTTCAAATCTGAGTCCAATAGAGACAGCTGTAATGTGTCTGAGCCAACTGAGGACAGCCAGACAAGTGAAGTTAGTGGAGATAAATGGAGACCCTGTGGAGAGACGAGAGGGGGTAAAAGGAAACCACAGCAAGCAGGTGAGACATCAGACAGGCTGTACACCTGCAGCATCTGCAACAAGACCTTCAGGATTAAATCCATCCTGACTCGCCACATGAAGACACACACAGGAGAGAAGCCGCACAGCTGCAGCGTCTGTGGCAAAGGCTTCATCCAACGCTCCTACCTGCAAACTCACATGAACTCTCACTCTGGACAGAAACCACACACATGCCGCTTCTGTGGCCGAGGGTTCTCACAGGTTGGGAACATGAACGCTCACATCCGAATCCACACAGGAGAAAAACCTCACAGCTGCTCTGACTGTGGTAAAAGCTTCAGGGAGAAAGCAGATCTCATTAAGCACAGAATCATTCATTCTGGTGAAAAACCCTACATTTGCACTGTGTGTAATATGAAATTCACTGCTCAGTCTAATCTAAAGCGCCACATAAAGACTCATTCAGGGGAGAGGCCTTTTAGTTGCACCTCATGTGGAAAAAAATTCATTCGTAAGTCTCATTTGATCATTCATATAAAGACTCATGCAGGAGGAAATCAATAGACTCGTGTGATTGCTCCACAGTATTGACAACGCAGAGCGGATGTATTTCAAGAGTAAAATGTCAAAATAATTTGATATGATTTTCAAAATATCTTGAACAGATATTTTTGCAACAAGTCGTTTACATGTTATTTTGTGATGTGGAACAAGAACTTAGCCTGGTTTTATGCTGTATGAACTTTCAAATGACCATTACTTGCAGTGAATTATGTACTTTCTGAGGGGAATAAAGCAAACAGGTCATTTTTCCATCCTTTGAAAACACTATCAGTGTTTCATTGATGTCAAGATTGTCTATCAGCTCTTAGCAACTTCAGTCTTCCTGAACATGTTCAAATATTAATATTTCTTTCTAAAATGAAAAAAAAAAAAGTTGAGGTTTCTGCTGTTGCTCTTCAACCAAGAATTTAAGTTTACTTGTGGGAGACTCTCCTCAGAAGCAATCCTGGGTTTACTTTATATATGCCCAAAAAGGGTATGAGAGAGGTTAAACTATTTATGAAATGTATATGGAAACAATAAGTAAAAAAGTGCGTAACTGTGAGCTCCTAGATATGTTCATTTTATAGAAACTGAAGTCAAAGAGGGAGATAGTCAGCTATTTGTGAGGGGGAAAACTTTCACCTTTAGTTATAGACACTGTTTTAGTTTTACTAACTTCTCACTCAGGGAAAATCGGTCACAACATATTTAAACTCTCAATTAAAGTAGTTAATTTGAGCTAGTTTTAGTTTCTAGTCCCCTAACTGCTAAGGGAAGAATATATATTTTTTTAAACGTAGCGGAAGTGGACTTGTGTCACTTCCGTTGCGCGAAATTGAATCTTGGCGCCACAGACTCGATAACAGTGGAGGAATCGGCGAATAAATCATCAGAAACATGACCTCAAACTCTTCACCAGCACGGTAATCTTTATATTGGAGTAACGGCAGTAAAAACTGCTTTGATAGTTCACGGTGTCTCTTGGTTATGAAGATTTAGATCCGTTTAAAGTGAATAATAACAGCAGCTGCGGTTAGTGTTCTGTTAGCAACGCGGTCGGCTCCTTGACTACAAATATGATGATGACTATGATCTTCTGTAGATGAAGGATACAATCCTCGGGGTAACGACTTTTCACACCTGCCAGTGATTGATCCGGACTCATCATGAACAGGACCAAACTGAAGAAAGTCCAGGTGAGTTTAGGTTGTTAGCGGATACTGGTGAACGACAACAATGTTGATAGTGTAAAACTAACGTGTCAGACTTGAACAAGGCTGTCTAATGTTAAATATGACACTGACTATTGAGTATTAATGAAAACTCTCTCAGCTGTTTATCTTCTAGACCCCGCTGAAATAAAAGATATAATAATCATAATGTAACAGAACAAACAGAAATTTAATGTTTACCTGGTGTTTCCTCTCAGGCTCCATTGGGACAAAAAAACATTTCATCTTTCTTTTCCTCCCAAAACCACCAAAAGGTAAATTTCTTTTTTTTTCTTTCTTTAATATCGTCTTTATTGCTACCACTGTTACCTGATGTCTTCTTACCCTGGACGCAGAGCTGGCCCAAGCCTCATTGGGGCCCTCTCTTTGTGCCAATAATTTTGATTGTTGATCATTCACACACCTACTACAGTATAAATTTAATGCACCACAAATGTCTTTACACATTTAAGGGGATGGCTTAGGTAATAACATAAAAAATATCAATGCAACCATACAAATAATACCAATAAATGACTGATGAATGATGTTCAGGGTGCCATATATGGTGTTTAATCTCAAAATGTAACACATTCAGGATGCTCAGTGCACATTCTACAGCAGGAGGCACATGACAGTAGTGGAGCTCTGATATATACATATATATGATATATACACACACATATATATATATATATATATATATATATATATATATATATATATATTTTTTTTTTGATTGCTTTGGGGTCCCCCTACTGGCTGCGGGGCCCTAAGCAGATGCTTAGTTTGTCAAAATATTTGAGAATTATGGCTTTAACAGTGCATATACCTCTCTGCAGTCAATGATGAGTAGAGGCATATCCAACTTTCATAACATGATTCTGCAGTTTTTATCACTTTGTGCTTCTAGTCTTGTCTGTATGTGTGGTGTAATTTCCCTGTCTGGTATCATCATGACAAGGGTCTTCAAGTTGTTTTTGCCATTAGTAGTAATAACATATTTTGTGCACATGATCTATATGACAATGTACTGTTTTGTTTTGTTTTTTCCTCACTTGGCCTTTCAAACTCTTCTCGTTAAAAATGTGTCCTCCAGTTTTGCCTGTTTTCTTTTATCTGTCTGTCCTGCACTTTTGCATCTGTTGTGGATTTTTATGATCAAATTACCACTAAAAAGTCAAAGGTGCTGTGCTAAATTATTCCTCTCTCTGTTGATTCAAGGATGGCTCTTTTTCCACTACATTATCTGTCGCTGGCACTGCCCTCAACAAGACTGCAGCTAAGATCAAACATGGCCAAACTTCAACAATTGGACCTCAGTCCCCCATAAAGAGGAGCATCCTTGGGGACCTTGAAAACCTCCTGACCTCCTCTCCAGATCTTCTTCTCTCTGTGCCTGAGACCCCTAACAGTCAAATTAGACTGGCTTTTTCTTCTACATCCAGTGATCTGAGTCAAGTACCCGGCAGAGAAGAGACAGGTCTGAAGAAACTTGGTCACCTGTCACCCATCTGCCGTAATCCTCGCACTAAAGAGCAGAGTGTACAAAGAGTAAAGACTGAGGATGGAGGACAAACCAAGCGGAAAGAGGGATGTTTTGGGTCCTTAAAAAGGCTTTTCAGCCCTCCCAAAGAGTCTGTCAATGCAAAAAGACCAAGAACAGCCAATTTACCTGCACAAATCGGTGCACTCAACCTCATTGGTAGCAACCTGAAAGCATCAGTGCCTGTGATTGGCCCTCTGAAGACACCTTCTCCTTCCTGTAAACAGTCAGAAGATCAACAGGAAAAACTGAAAGAGAACAATGAAAATGGCACTCACACTCCTGATGTTCAACCAGAGACACCAAGTATCATAAAATCAGCAAATTCAGAGACAGACCTCACCAAGAAGGAGGGTGAGACAAACCCCGGAAACAAAGATACCGCGGTATCAGCAGTAATTTGTGCAAACGGAGACCAAAACAAAGTGACCTCTTCAGAACAGGAGCCAGCTGGAGGTACACTGATAGATCATTTCATTGGCTCCATACTACACGTTAATCACATTATAATGACAACTGATACACATCATTAATATTAATGGCTTTTGAAGGGATCAAATTTGACGTGATCTCATCAGCTACAAAATGAAAGATGGTTTATTTTGGATTTTTTCCATCCAACATTTGAGTCTTATTGTAAAACTAAAAGCGTTGGTTTCAACAGTGCTTCAGTCTTTGCATTTAAAGTAACTGTTTAATAGACGCTTTGTTAGAAACATGGTATCACTTGATTGGGAAGCAGCTTTAAAAACAAATGCATTTTAAAATCCCAGATACCCAAATTTTGAATTTTGCATCATGATTTTAGTCATTCAGTATACTCACAGTGATATACACAGACCTGATTTGTATGCATTACTTTCTTTTCAGAGTGGTTTCCTGCTTTTATTTCATTTTGTCTCTCTCCACACAAAAACAAACAGGAATGATGTCAGCTTGTCCTGATGCAGAGGAGCTTGATGACAGCTGGTTCACAGATCAGATGGATCATGATGACAGATGTGTCGCAGAGGATAAACCTAAAAAACCTCTGTAAGAAACACATCAGTGCTCTGTATTGGAGAAAAAATGAAAGTGTTTGATTCATTTTTCCTCCTTTTATTATAGAAATGAGTTAATTTGGATCAATTATTTAGCAGTGTGTTGGGTTTTCATGTCACTGTGTTTGGTTTGATACTTGCCTTATAGCAAGTGCCTGCCAGAAGAGATGATAAAAACAAATCAAGATCTTAATGTTAATTCTTGTTCAATATTTTGATCCTGGTTTCTTAAATATGGTGCCTGATTGAAAACACATTAATGATAATCATCTTCTCACCTACAGGAAGGTGCCTGATCATGTCATCCTATCTGGAGGCTCAAACAACCGCTACTGGGTTTTAGATGTGGAAGAACAATCCAGCAGCAAAACACTGACCATCTCATGCTCCAAATCTCTGCATCCAACTGAGACATGTCTGCTGAAGGATGGATGGTAACTCAGTTAGTCAGGATCTTCCGATCATACTGATTCGATTCTTCATGTCTGTCCTTGAACACATCACTTTATGGTTAAGAGCCTCCAAGCAGCTCATATTTCTGAAGGATAAACTCTTTTTTACTTGTATTTCTGTTCTGCTCAGTTATTAGTGAAGATAAACCTGTGCTTGCTGCATCATTTAGACAAAATTAGTTCAGAATATTTGCAGATTTGATTCAATAAATATCTCAGAGGCTAGTTCACAGGGGATTAATGCATTTGGCAGTTTGACTTGTGTACATGGAAGCTCTGCTCACAGTTTGCCTTCATGAATGATTAATGTGTCCTTCTGTCACACTGAGTTTTAGTATTAATGCCTCAAAGCAGTTTGTGTTTCTGCGTGTTTGCAGGGAGATGACGCCTGTTCGCTGTGGGGATGTGGTGCATTTGGAAGGCCGCTCTGATGGCGGTTCCTGGTTAGTGGACAGGGAGAACGGCTTCCTGGTTTTACATCCTGATAGTCTCATCTCAGGGACCAGCATCTCCAGCTCCATCCGCTGCATGAGGCGAGCAGTACTGGGAGACTTGTTCAAGGTGAACGTCTTTACTGCCACAATTCAGATCGCTTCCTGTCATTTTTATTGTCTCATTACTGAGCGGTTTATACAAATATCTGAGGGGGACTGAACGCTTCAAACACTATTAAGGATGTCACCCATAGGCAGGAGAATAAAACCACAAAGTAATGAGTGATTATGTACTTGATATTAGAAAATGTTATATTGATCTAACTGCTTGACTGGGATTGTGTAAGTAGTCGCAAGTTTACATTAGGTCTGAATGTTTGATCTGTTGGCCTAGTACGTAAGATGTGCAAAAAAATGTTACACAACATAATGCTAAACAACATCCTTCGAAAAGTTTTACCTTTCTATCAAGTTAAAATGTTAAGAACATATTTTTTTAATGTTTTATTTAGGAATCTGGATTTTAACGTTGGTGAATTCAATTACAAAACTTCTACAACATATTATTTTAAAACAGTCGCTGAACTCTTTACCTTCCCCTGTTCTCTTTTTTTTTAATGTGATGTAGAGTTTTGACGGCGGCTCCAAACAAATGCTGAATGGCACCATGGTCCACGAAGTGTTCCAGAGAGCAGCCGCAGCTAACGACTTTTCTCTGGAGACTCTGTCTAAACTGGCTGACCAGGCTCTGTGCAGCCCCCAGTACCTGGGAGACATGTGAGTGGGTAGCTTGTACTGTTCACAGCACTGCAGAGTTTCGTTTTTCTGTGATGATTCACAATGAATGGATGTTGGTCAGAACAGTAGAGCTTCCTCGATATCTGTCCGTAGCTTCTTTAATCTTGTTGAGTTACAGTATGTTTTGGTTTTTGTGTGTGTCCTCAGGTACAGTTTAGGTGTATGCCAAGAGGAGATGAAGCAGGAACTGCACGGTTATCTGCCCTCACTGCAGGACTGGGCAAAAGAATACCTCAACTCCCACACACCTAAAGCAATAAGCCTCAAAATGTAATTCACACACACACACATATATATACACATATACACATACATGTGTGTCTACAGACATAAAGAAGCTTTTATATAAGTGATATTGTGGCTTTCCTAGTACCTTTAAAAAGTCGCAGAGAATAGGTCCTGTATATTTGTGTAACACGCTGCTGCTGTTCCAAAGAAGTACCCACAGTATAGCGAGGTTTTTAGAGCTTTTATAACAGAAAAAACGCTTCTGCAGTGGCCAGTGATTTACACGCGCACATCAGATGTTATATGTGAACACTTTGCATTGTGTGTCATTGCAAACAAAGAACATAAAGCACGGTCAACAAAAATCACAGCTACATAGGCTCACCTCTCCACCCCTGTGCAGGTGAGACAGCCCCTTATACACTCACCGGCCACTTTATTAGGTACACCTGTCCAACTGCTCGTTAACACTTAATTTCTAATCAGCCAATCACATGGCGGCAACTTAGTGCATTTAGGCATGTAGACATGGTCAAGACAATCTCCTGCAGCTCAAACCGAGCATCAGTATGGGGAAGAAAGGTGATTTGAGTGACTTTGAACGTGGCATGGTTGTTGGTGCCAGAAGGGCTGGTCTGAGTATTTCAGAAACTGCTGATCTACTGGGATTTTCACGCACAACCATCTCTAGGGTTTACAGAGAATGGTCCGAAAAAGAAAAAATATCCAGTGAGCGGCAGTTCTGTGGGCGGAAATGCCTTGTTGATGCCAGAGGTCAGAGGAGAATGGCCAGACTGGTTCGAGCTGATAGAAAGGCAACAGTGACTCAAATAACCACCCGTTACAACCAAGGTAGGCAGAAGAGCATCTCTGAACGCACAGTACGCCGAACTTTGAGGCAGATGGGCTACAGCAGCAGAAGACCACACCGGGTGCCACTCCTTTCAGCTAAGAACAGGAAACTGAGGCTACAATTTGCACAAGCTCATCGAAATTGGACAATAGAGGATTGGAAAAACGTTGCCTGGTCTGATGAGTCTCGATTTCTGCTGCGACATTTGGATGGTAGGGTCAGAATTTGGCGTCAACAACATGAAAGCATGGATCCATCCTGCCTTGTATCAACGGTTCAGGCTGGTGGTGGTGGTGTCATGGTGTGGGGAATATTTTCTTGGCACTCTTTGGGCCCCTTGGTACCAATTGAGCATCGTTGCAACGCCACAGCCTACCTGAGTATTGTTGTTGCTGACCATGTCCATCCCTTTATAACCACAATGTACCCAACTTCTGATGGCTACTTTCAGCAGGATAATGCGCCATGTCATAAAGCTGGAATCATCTCAGACTGGTTTCTTGAACATGACAATGAGTTCACTGTACTCAAATGGCCTCCACAGTCACCAGATCTCAATCCAATAGAGCATCTTTGGGATGTGGTGGAACGGGAGATTCGCATCATGGATGTGCAGCCGACAAATCTGCGGCAACTGTGTGATGCCATCATGTCAATATGGACCAAGCTCTCTGAGGAATGCTTCCAGCACCTTGTTGAATCTATGCCACGAAGAATTGAGGCAGTTCTGAAGGCAAAAGGGGGTCCAACCCGTTACTAGCTTGGTGTACCTAATAAAGTGGCCGGTGAGTGTATAACCGACCGGCTTTCAAACACAGTGCCCATGTGACCCAAACCCAGCGAAACCAATGGCAACCAGACAAAAGTAATTGAACACAGGATAACCAATCAGCAAAGCAACATTATGGGTCCTACAAGTAATGAAGAGAAAACAAACAGGGAGATAAAGGGACACTTTTCCAACTAATAATGTGACTTAAATCAGTGTTTAAATAATTACTTAAAACTTTGAGATGTTATGTTTTGTCTCTGTCTTCATCCACTCAGTCCAACCAGCAGCAGAGCTCTAAGTGGCGGTCAGGGCTCGGCCTCTGTTGTCACAGTCACAGAGCTGGCAGACATCGAGGAAAATGTTTGGTCTCCCAGATTCGGCCTGAAAGGAAAAATCGATCTAACAGCCCGGGTTAAAATCCAAAGACCCCGAAACGGTACAAATAGATCCCCAGAGGAGAGGACTGTCCCCTTGGAGCTGAAGACAGGGAAGGAGTCAAACTCAATAGAGCATCGCAGCCAGGTGGGTGGACCACAGCGTGTTCAGATGGGTATACTTATTTAGACCGGTGAGGTCAGATGCAAAGCGATAAAGGCAAATGTAAAATAACAACAGAAATGTGGTCTTTTGTGTTTAGGTGATTCTTTACACTCTGATGAGTTTGGAAAGGTACAATCCTGAGGTTGGCTTTCTGCTTTACCTCAAAACTGGCAACATGCACCCTGTAGTGGCCAGCCATATGGACCGCAGAGGTACAGTGTGATCCACATTGGCTCAACCTTGCTTCTTACTTAAATTGTTGAATCTTGCATTATTTAGAATTTGAATAAAACTGAGATTGATATGTACTGAGAAAGACCTTGATTTCCTGAAGATGGATGTTGTATTGAATGTAAAGTAAATTCATCTGCTTGAACCACTTCATTATAGCACATTAAAACCAAACGATGAGCTTAGTCTTTTTCTGCTCTTTCACCTTCACTGTCTGTTCATCTCAGAGCTGCTGAAGCTGAGGAACACCCTGGTCCATCACATTCACAACTGTGTGGAGAAAGAAGGGAAGCAGAGCCATTTATCTCGACTCCCTGACATCCTGACCAACAGACAAACCTGCCAGTACTGTCCACAAAGGAGAAACTGTGCTTTATATGAGAGGTACACGTTTTAAACCAAACTGGAGGCATTCAAAGTTATGTTACCTGTCATCATTCATACAGTATAGTATAGCTGAGGTTTGGGGTTCGATGAGGACTTAAATGATCTCACTAAACCACCATTATCCCCTCCCTCTTTATCAGGGCATTGGATGGCAGCTCTGCAGATTCCACCGAGGATGTTGTACGTGACTTCCTGCACCAGGAGACGGGTCACCTGACTCCACCACATCTTACCTACTTTTCTCATTGGCTGTTGCTCTGCTGCCTCGAGGCTGGAACCATGGAGGCCAAGAACGGCCGAAAGCATGTGTGGCTTCGGACGGCAGAGGAGAGGTATTAGACTGGTCCCTCACATCCAAATACTTACGGTCTTTGGCCTTTGACTCCTGTGTTGTGATTGAATAGTTTTAACTCTGTGCTCTGTGTTCCCAGTGAGAAGAGTGGGCGCTGTGTGGGGAACGTGCAGCTCAGCGGTACAGTCACTGTGCAGTCTGAAGGAGTTTTCCTCCATCGTTTCCAGAGGAGCAGTGCGGTTCAACAGAAGGGTTTGACCCACAGCGGTTTATCCAGCGGAGATCGCATTGTTGTTAGCGACCAGGAGGGTCGTCTGGTTGGTTTAGCAACAGGATACCTGTGTGAAGTCAGCAGGACATCAGTCAGCTGCACCCTGGACAGGTGAGAATAAACCCACAAACACCTTTAAGTACTAAGTCTGCTTGTCAATGTCATACATGTGATTTCTGCTCTAAATGAATTTTACAGAGATCTGTCAAAGTTCAGCGGTGTGGTGTTTCGACTGGACGGGGATGAAGGTGTGGTCGGCCTCAGCACTCATCTCACCAATCTTTCCAGACTGATGGAGAATCATCAGGACAGGTAGAGTGAAACAAAATATGGTCAAACAATCGTATTCATGCAAAGTTGAGACCTGAAAAGTTCTCTGTTCGGTCTCATGTTTATGTTCAGTGATCGCCTAAGGGAGCTGATCGTCGACCATCGTCCTCCAGAGTTTATTTCCAACCTCAGCTCTGTTCTGCCAAGAGAAGCCAAAGACACCGTGGCCAACATCCTCAAAGGTGACACAGTTCGATTGTAAAAATTCATCTTATTTATTTGTTTTTACCTTAAATACAAGTGTGGTCACTTCATGTATTTGTGTGTTTATAGGTCTCAACAAACCACAGAAACAGGCCATGAAGAAGGTGCTGTTATCTAAAGACTACACACTGATTGTTGGCATGCCAGGCACAGGAAAAACCACAACCATCTGCACCCTGGTAACTGATAACTCCTTTACTTGTACTGTCATCCACGTGGCACCCTCTACGGTTCTCACTTTCCTCTGCTCTTTGTACTTTTCCCGCTTTTTATTCCAGGTTCGCATCCTTCACGCTTGTGGGTTCAGTGTGTTGCTGACCAGCTACACACACTCTGCTGTCGACAACATCCTGCTGAAGCTCAAGCGCTTTCGGGTGGGGTTCCTGCGTCTTGGGCAGGGACAGAAGGTAAGATCTTGGATATTATTTTAGAAGTAAAAAGCTAACAACTTTCCACTTTGTGATTGTTTTTTGTAACTCGAAATATATTTTAACTGTTTTTTTAAAGGCAGATTTTGAACATCTGCTTTTAAAAATAAATGCCTCTCTTGGTGTTGCACAAATTACTTTTAAGTATTTATGGAGCGACACAATCCCTTGATAACTTTGCCAAGTCTGCACAGAGCTAATGAAGGATCTCCACACCAAAGAATAAAATCTAGAGCTCTTGCTTTGTCCCTTCAGGTTTCCACTCCTCTGACTCTCTGATTTTACTTTCATCCTGCTGCAGGTTCATCCAGACATCCTACCTTACACAGAGGAAAGCCTGAGAAAGAAGGGCGTTCACACACTGTCAGATTTGGAGCAGCTTTACAACAAAGAGGTCAGGAGTGAATTTTTGCAATATCCTTGCAACAGCTTCCAGATGAGACAAATGCATTTACAAACCCCTTCTTTAAAATATCACATTTCACTGTTTTTGCTTATTAAAGACATTCAACATGCACATTGTGTAGCTTAAGCTATTTATATGAATCAAGTTAACGACCAATAACTCCGTTCTTCTCTTCTCTCTTTTCCAGCTGGTCGTGGGTACCACCTGTATGGGCATCAAACATCCACTTTTCTCCCGTCGTCGCTTTGATTTCTGCATTGTAGACGAAGCTTCACAGATAAGTCAGCCCATTTGTGTCGGCCCTTTGTTTTATGCCAAGAGATTCGTCCTGGTTGGAGACCACCAACAACTCCCTCCAATAGTGCAAAATCAAGAAGCTAGGTAAAGTCAAAGTTGGTGATGTAGGAGTTACAGTGGCCTCTGTTACTTGTTAGAGAATACAATTACCACTGTCAGTTATCTTTATACCGTCTCTTACCTGCAGGTCACGTGGCATGGATGAAAGTCTGTTTAAGCGACTCGAGCTCCACAGTGAAGCAGTGGTCCAGCTGAATGTACAGTACAGGATGAACAGGTAAACAAACATACGCACAGAGTTGGTTTACTCACAAGCTCATCCCTCAGACTCTGTAAATAGAGCTGATTCTCTCATCCTGTTCAAGCACTGCAGATCAATCACTCCATCTACCCAACCAGTACAAACCTGCAGGTACAACATAACTGTGTGCACTCCTCTGTGTTTTAGACAGATCATGTCTCTCAGTAACTCCCTGATGTACGAGGGTCGGCTGGAGTGTGGGTCAGAGAGGACGGCTGAGGCTCTTCTCAACCTGCCTTTCCTACTCTCTGTCCAATCAGAGATCAGCTCACACTCTAACACTGATCCCCAACATGACCTGGCTTGGGTGCAGGCTACATTGTTACCCAGCAACCCCGTCTGCTTCCTGGATTGCTCAATGGTTGGTAGAATATGCATTGCATTATAAATGGCAGTTTAAGTTTTTTTTCTTAAAATGATAACACTCAACGCAATATGATTAATTTGACATGTCGTAGTGTGGGCCTGCTCTGTCTGTGGTTGGTCAGTGGCATTAGTCTGTGCTTAAAAAAAAATTAGGACAGTATTTGAAAAGATCTAAAATCCTTCTTTTCTGTTTCCTTTAGGTGCCAGCACTCGAGTCTGTGGAGCAAGGAGGTGTTAGTAATCACACTGAGGCAGCTATCGTACACAAGTTGCTATCACTTATAATAAAGGTATTACAGATGTCCAACTGCAGTGCAGTTAAATATTCTGTTAGCCTGAGCTTCTTTCTACTCACAAAGTGTGTTATGCATCAAATTGAAGCAGTAAAGACAAAGAAATAATCAGTGCATCTTCTCATCCTCTCAGGCAGGGTGTAAGCCCAGTGATATAGGTGTTATCGCCCCCTACAGACAGCAGCTGAAGAGCATCTCTGCTCTGCTGCAGTCCTCTTCCTTCACTGGTGTGGAAGTGAACACAGTGGACAAATATCAAGGACGAGACAAGAGCTTGATTGTTCTCTCTTTTGTCAGGAGCACTGTAGAGGAAGGACATGTAAGTCTTTCTCCTGCCGTCTCCCTGTTGGTCTCTCTTCTCGCTCCTCAGTTGATTCACAAGCAGCAGATTCACAGTTTGATGGCAGCCTCACTTGATTGTCACCTGCTCCTTTTATTCACAGTTGGGAGAGCTGTTGAAAGACTGGCGTCGCCTGAATGTCGCCATCACCAGGGCCAAACACAAGCTGCTAATGGTGGGCTCTGCTACGACGCTGCGACGCTACGCTCCTGTGGAGAAACTTTTGAACCATCTTCAGCAGGAGAACATGATATCCTTTAAGCACTGAACACTAACATTTATCTTTTAAAACACAAATCTGACTCTGGGGATCCTTTTGTTTCTAATTATGTCATATCTAAATATGTGTTTATATATATATATAATATGTTGTATATATTTATGGGTAAAAAGTTCTTTTTCCTTAACTCTAACCTCACATCATCCAGCTCCCACCAGCTGCCCACAAAGCCTTACCGAGCATGTCCTTGTGACCGAGTCTGTGAAGTCATGGAGGTGTTTCAGGTCACCTGTCTAACTGTGAAGAAGGATGCTGTCACTGAGCACGTCAGCAGTTTTTCACTACTGTTCTGTATTTGGGAGAAACACAGTATTCAGGTTTTCCTAGTGGAGTTTGCAGCCCTCAGTTCCTACCTTAAAGCCTCTGGTGTTAGTATTTCCCCTCATCTGCTGGACTGGTGGAGAAACATTAAAATAGCAAACTCACAAGGACACCTGAGGTATATTTGGACTGCTCAGGAGACTTTGCCCTTTTTGGTTTAATCCCCAAAGTTTCATAATAGATATTGAATCACCATCTTCATCACAGTGTTAGCTTAATTTAGCAGCTTCTCCTAATGCTACATTTTGCAAATCAATAATAACCTTTTGCTTGAAGGATGTTTATCTTCACAAGTAGAAGGAAATGTCAGCCCCTGATCATCTCTGGACTGAACCCCATCAAGCTTTGCAAACAGACCTCCAGGCCTCAGCTGTGTGGTGCTGAGGCCTTTTTAAAATGTGAAATGCTGTGACGTGACTGATTGCACTACTGTTCTGAGTCTCTGCTAGGACTATGTACTGTTTACTGTTGTAGTAATTTGGATCAAATACCTCCACTGATTATCTGACATTTTAAGCTTGAAAATGTAGAGACTGGGTTATTTATTTTTGTCATGTCACTCAGCAACAGTGAAATCAGCTCTGCCATTTCTGTCAGTTGACTGAATTTTTGTCGTAAGGATGAAAATTTTAAGTCTGATAGTTTAAGAGTTGAGCTGCATCATAATCAGAGGTCCTCAGTGGTTCTTCAAGTTCTCAATATTTCCAGTAGAAACTTGATTAATAGTGTTAAAGAGCCGACTTGCGTGTATTTTTGTGTTTAGCGAATCACCTGGGCGGTGATTCGGTTTGTGTTTGGGTGAACTGTCTGCTCTGTAGAATCTTAATGACAGTGACCACTTTGAAGGTACTGGACGACATGCTGGTCTAAACAAATCTGAGCAACAAACTAGTTCATGAACGACGTCCGTTCACATAACTCTGTCTATGACAGCACTAGTTAAAGGATTAAAAAACAGATCTACAGCGATTCAGACGGAAGAGATACAGAAAGAGACAACACTAGCCTTAGTATCATGAAAATTCTGTTCTTGGTCGGAAAGTTTCCTTTACAAATTCAAATCAAACCATTTTGCAAATCCTGATGCGCAGCTCTGCGTTTGCTGCTGATTTTCCTGTGATGGAAGCGTCAGATGGACCATTAACTGTGATTCTGACTTTAAACAATGTGAGTCAGACTTTCTATGTTATGTCTCTACATTTTTTGTTTTTTTTTAATGTTCTTATTGTCATTTTATATTATTCATATAAATTTAAAATAAAGCTCACACTTTGTTTCAGTAATAAAGTTTCAGATTTTATTATTATCTTTATTTAAACCATCTTATCCAATCATATACACCATCATTTTATATATATATATTTTTTTTTTTAACCTTTATTTACCCATTATTGCCCATAATCCTCATCTCCTCACAGATGTGTCTACAGTTTGATTGTCCCCTGCAGCACAAAAACAGCATTTCCACATATGTTGATTCTTCCATCATCTCTCACTTCTAGTTCCAGCTCCCCTCCTCGTTTAGAGCACTGGAAAGCTGCACACATACACAGGATCAAACTGTCAGTTTTTTCATGGCTTAGTCAAAGTGAACTAGCTCAGAGTTTGATAAGTTTGTAATCAATTATGATATTATGCAAGTGAAATTACCCAGCATCTTCTTCTTTCCCAGTTTCTCAGACCAGTAGCTTCCTAGCACAGTGTGGGCAGAACCTGCAAAGACAGAAATCAGACAGTAACATTTAACCAGAGGAATATTCTACAATTCGAGGACCAACTTACATCTTACAAGAAACTGACAGTGTGCATTTGTTTCAGTTATGTTTTGTTTGCTTTCAAATCTAAAAGGAAGACCGTATGATCAAACACTACACCCTTCAAAGACTCTGACTCTACATGCAGAGATAGTTGTAGGTATTAGAAGTTTGAATGCGGGTCTACCTGTGACAGGATGGAAGCGTCAGATGGACCATTAACTGTGATTCTGACTTTAAAATCAATGTGAGTCAGACTTTCTATGTTGTGTCTCTACATTTTGATTGATCATTACCTCTGGTTTAATAAATGATCTGGGTTGACCTCAGTGAACACAACGACAAAAAAACACTCAATGTTACAAGTAGATTCAATATGAACGCTCTCAGGCTTCAAACAGATTTTATTATTATCTTTATTTAGGAACCATCTTATCCAATTCATATACACCATCATTTTATTAAACATGACATGTTTATCGTGGTGTTACAAAATAAAGCCATCATGACCCTAAAGTCTCTAAAGTATCACATTTTTGCTCCAGTGACCTTTCATAGTGAGGATTAGTCCTTTCACTCTCCCACTCTTCTCACTGCTCATAAGAGCTGCAGGGTCAACTTTAAGACTGGTCAGCACCGACCTGGAGAAACACACATCCCCACAGCACAGTACTGAGTCACAAACAAATACGGTTATACAAAAGTGTGCATAAAGAAAAGACAGAGTTTGATAAGTTTGTAATCAATTATGATATTATGCAAGTGAAATTACCCAGCATCTTCTTGGTGTTTCCCAGTTTCTCAGACCAGGGAGGTTCCCAACTGCGGCCTGTATCACACATGCAGAATCAGAGACACGGTGAGATATGCAAGTACAAAATCAAAGCACACCAGCTTATCTGACTGAGAGGGGGCAGAAAATATACTTTTTACCCACAATGGTGCATTTTACTGACCTTGATGATGTCTCTGAATTCATTTGCATCCTGAGAACATATTAGACACGGAAAAAAAGCTGTGAAAAATAATATTTGTAATGTTTTTTTCACAGGAGTTTACTGAAGAATAGCTTTGAAAATCTTGTGATACCAGTTAATTACTTTGTGTTACGATGGTTGTATGATTTTATGTGTTTCAGAGAAGATAAAATAGTGGAATGAATGCTGTAGACTCAAAACAAGCTGTGTTATATTTCAGTCACCACGTGAGAACTGGGCTGATTGTGTTTTCATAGCTTTCAGCCCAGCAGAGCAAGACGATGAAACCTTAACTTGTTGAAATAAACATTAATCTCAAGATCATACACTGCACCTCTTGGGTTGGTGGGTTTAGGGGAAAGTCCATGATGTAGCGCTCTCCCTGCTGTGTGACAGCCATCTTACTTCAAACAACTCTAAACATGAATTCTCATTTTCTGTCAGATGTGAGATGAACAGATGAAATAAAATGATCACAAGGCAGCTGGTGAGTGAGGTGAACTGGAGTGTTCACATGTTACTGAGTAATCTTTACTAGAGTATATGAAAATGCTTCTGAGGCAAAAGGTGAAAATATCCAACCCCAATTCTGTTAAAGTTAAGTACTTTCAAAATGTGAAATAAACAAGGATTTTTACGGTTTGCAAATCAATTAAGACCTGAATTCAATTTAAAATGGTGCAAAGACAAACTTATAAACTGAAGAAATGATATTTTATGAAAAACATATACTTGTTTTGAATTCCAAAACAGTCGTTGGGGCTCATGTTTTAAACCTCATTCTGTATATATCAGTGAACCCAGAAGACCAGTTTCTGGAGTACTGAGAGTGAAATGTCCCATTCTTGTCTGATTTAGGGTTTCATCTACTCAGCAGCTTGGGGTCTCCTTTGATATATTTTTTGTTTCATGATGCTCCAAATGTTTTCAGGCAACTTAGGACTGCAGGCCAGCTAGTTCAGTACTCAGACTATAAGGCCTATGTACTTCATTCAGCACTGATGGAGCCTTCCCAGATATGTGAACCACCCATGCCATCAGGGATGTTGGCTACCTTAGGATGCATTCTCCTGCATCTTGAACAGGCTCTGGCCCAAAGAGGTCACTGGCATCTCTGGATCATGTTTATGTATAGGTTCCTCTTTACATGGTACAGTTTTAACCTGCATTTTTTGATTCAAGGACAAACTGTACTCTCAGACAGTGTTTTCTGGAAGTGACACATGCAGTAATTTCCACTACAGAGTCATATCTGTCATGAATGCACTGCTGCCTTGGAACCTGAAGATCATAGCCAGTCAGTGTTGTTTTTGGTCCTTGTCCCTTTTGTAAAGAGGTTTTTCCAGATCCTCTGAATCTCTTAGTGATATTACGCCCTGTAGATGATGAAATCCACTCATTCTGCTCAGGAACATTATCCTAGAATTGCAAACCTTTCTCCTCACCAGTCTCTCACAAAGCCCAATCCCATCTTTACCCCTGAGACTCAGCTCAGGGATCCCTTTTTCATACCCAGTCATGTTACTAACCTGCTGCAAGTTACTGTAATAGTTGTAAGTTGACCATCCAGGGGTTTCAATTTTCTCACAACTTTTTCAGTAATTTTTTTACTGTCCCTATCCCAATGTTTTGAGACATGCTGCTGGCATCACATCTTAAATGAGCATCTACACTCACCGGCCACTTTATTAGGTACACCTGTCCAACTGCTCGTTAACACTTAATTTCTAATCAGCCAATCACATGGCGGCAACTTAGTGCATTTAGGCATGTAGACATGGTCAAGACAATCTCCTGCAGTTCAAACCGAGCATCAGTATGGGGAAGAAAGGTGATTTGAGTGACTTTGAACGTGGCATGGTTGTTGGTGCCAGAAGGGCTGGTCTGAGTATTTCAGAAACTGCTGATCTACTGGGATTTTCACGCACAACCATCTCTAGGGTTTACAGAGAATGGTCCGAAAAAGAAAAAATATCCAGTGAGCGGCAGTTCTGTGGGCGGAAATGACTTGTTGATGCCAGAGGTCAGAGGAGAATGGCCAGACTGGTTCGAGCTGATAGAAAGGCAACAGTGACTCAAATAACCACCCGTTACAACCAAGGTAGGCAGAAGAGCATCTCTGAACGCACAGTACGTCGAACTTTGAGGCAGATGGGCTACAGCAGCTGAAGACCACGCTGGGTGCCACTCCTTTCAGCTAAGAACAGGAAACTGAGGCTACAATTTGCACAAGCTCATCGAAATTGGACAATAGAAGATTGGAAAAACGTTGCCTGGTCTGATGAGTCTTGATTTCTGCTGCGACATTCGGATGGTAGGGTCAGAATTTGGCGTCAACAACATGAAAGCATGGATCCATCCTGCCTTGTATCAACGGTTCAGGCTGGTGGTGGTGGTGTCATGGTGTGGGGAATATTTTCTTGGCACTCTTTGGGCCCCTTGGTACCAATTGAGCATCGTTGCAACGCCACAGCCTACCTGAGTATTGTTGCTGACCATGTCCATCCCTTTATGACCACAATGTACCCAACTTCTGATGGCTACTTAGTGATATTACGCCCTGTAGATGATGGAATCATCTCAGACTGGTTTCTTGAACATGACAATGAGTTCACTGTACTCAAATGGCCTCCACAGTCACCAGATCTCAATCCAATAGAGCATCTTTGGGATGTGGTGGAACGGGAGATTCGCATCATGGATGTGCAGCCGACAAATCTGCGGCAACTGTGTGATGCCATCATGTCAATATGGACCAAGCTCTCTGAGGAATGCTTCCAGCACCTTGTTGAATCTATGCCACGAAGAATTGAGGCAGTTCTGAAGGCAAAAGGGGGTCCAACCCGTTACTAGCATGGTGTACCTAATAAAGTGGCATCTATTTTTCACAAAATATTAAAATCTATTAGTTTAAATGTTTAATTTGTTGTTTTTGAACTATTTTCAATCAAATGATTTGCATACCATGATTCTGTTCTTTCAACATTATACGTAACTTATGGGATTGGACTGGATTTTACTGAGGTTGGTACACTGAGTGGATTTTTACTGTGGAATAATTGTGATGTGCTGTTTTTGTATCCCTGTTTGCTTTGTAACTTACTTTCATACAGGAACAGCACTGCTGCCGTGGCCAGAGTGGCGTGACCACACAGATTTACTTCATTGGTGGGTGTAAACCATCGCAGACGAAACCTTGATCCTGTTAATAACACCATGTTATCAGTTAAGTGCTCTTACACACATACATATCAAGTTCATAGCAACTTCAAAACAATTCCTACTTTGTATAGAAACCTGGTTTTAACACATCCGCCATCCTTACATTTACTGTATGAATATGACTGTATCTTAGCTGTTGGAATTAAAAAGAATAGTTTCTATACTGTAAGGTATTCAAATATGCTTGGACAGACTGAGATATATGTACTTTATCATGTATGTATGTATGTATGTTGTTTTGATGATTCTGACAGCAGAAGAATAGTCATGTGGAAAAATAGGCAAAACAGAGTTTATCTAGTGACATTGCTAAAATATTCAAGTTTAAATCCTTACCCATCATTGTGGTTTATTGTTACATTTTATCCAGGAGGATTATTAGACTGTACTATGATGTGCTTATCCATGAGTTTTCTCAGTGAACAATGTGAATCCGGACACCTTTTTAAGTTTCATGGCTCTGTGTTTTGACCTTGGTTGACATGTATATTTAAGAGATTTTCAGCAGTGCACAAAACACAAAATGACTGCACACTGTGCATTTTTGACTCTCAGCTCATGGCATTGTTCTTCTCATTCCCAACAATGCAAGTCTTATCTGTGTTTTGAACATTGTTACCTTTTAAACTGCTGAGGACATGTGTTTTTTTTTCAGTTTGTGCACACACAAGAACACGCATTCCAACCCCAGTGAACAGCAAAGAGCTTCACAGCTTTCTTTTTACCGGCAACCAGAATTTCTTAAGCGTGGTCTGACATGCTTGTTCTGTTTTTGAGTTTATTTCCATAACCATTCATTTTCCTGTTTTCTTATTCGTGCACCCGGACTTTATAAGCAGACCTTAAAGCCTAGAGATAAATGTTAATGGTCTGTCTTTATCTTTGTGTCCTGCTAACCCTGCTGAAACAGGTGAACACATATCTTTTTAAACAGACCTGTGAATAATAAACCCCACCTTATTTTATACTATAATCTCTTTGTGTCTGTATTTTGTATTTCAATGTTCCTTGGTATTGTGTCATTGTTTACATATAAGTTCCATTATGTGGCTCTTCATGTGCCTAGATATTGTCTTTCTTCATATCTGTATTTATCAACATAAACTTGTCTTGTCTGTACAATGTGCTACATGTATAAACTTTACCTGTCTTACACAATTCAAGGTTGTACAGACAGAAAATCTGACACCTAACTATTACAACACTTGCAATACCACAACATCTTTATTGCTGTGTCTTTATAGTTTTTTTTTCCTGGCAAAAGAGTATCTCGATAAACAGCCTGAACCACCAAACAGGGAATAAACAGGCTGTACAACCATTGTCAGAAAGGCTCATAGGAAAACTTAAACTTACATTTATGATTAGAAAATGTCTAGATGTATTTGAAGTATGTCAAATAGATACAGTCTGACCTGTTGTGAAATTGTCAGAGGGGTTGAGCCTGGTGACGAAAGCTGTTTCTGCCAGGTTCATCTCTGCTGCTATTTTCTGATACAGGTCATCACTCAGCTCCTGATTAGGAAAAAAAAGAACGTATACATACATAATAACAGATAGGCTTAATATTTGAGTGACATCTCTTCAGTAGCAAACAGACTGAAGGCATCTATAAATGCTAAGTTTGCCAAACAGGACGTGATACTTTACAGTAAATCAACTTTTCTGACTGAATTATCTAAACATCCTTCATTAAACAGCTGCTGTACACAGGCCCTACACTGCAGGTCATCACATGGTGTCTGTAAACACAACTGCACTGACTGTTAAATACTAGTACTCACGTGCATAAGCGGGCAGATTGCCGCAGGGTTTCCCTTGAATGGTAAATTAGTAAAGGCATCTACTGTATAGACCGGGATCTCCATGGTTGTTAAGAAGAAGCTGGTTCAAAACTGAAAGAGTTTCCTCTGAGGTCGGAGAGGACTGACACAGACTCCTCTCACTGCTGTCGGACTTTACCCCGTCTGTTTGATTTTGACAAACGCCCCTCAGCGTCAATTTTCCCACCGCTAGGGTTGCCAGATAGTCAACACGTGTTCAGGAGCATAATACTGGGTTCTGCCTTGCCTATGTGCCAGAAACAGCTTTATTTAGAGGCCAACACTGTAGTACTTACTCCGGTAAACTTAGTACTTGTCAGTTAATTGGGCCTTTATTGATATCAAACATTGTGTTGTATGGCTGTGGGTGGAGTTACTCCAGATCACAGGTAGACGACTCATAAATTTACAGTACAGGCTAAAAGTTTGGACACACCTTCCCATTCAATGCATTTTCTTTATTTTTCTTATATGACTATTTAAATTGTATATTCTCAGTGAAGGCATCAAAACTATGAATGAACACGTGGAATTTTGTACAAAATGTGTGAAATAACTGAAAACATGTTTTATGTTCTAGTTTCTTTAAAATAGCCACCCTTTGCTCTTGATGACAGAAGGCACACCTGTGAAGTAAAAACTATTTCAGGTGACTACCTCATGAAGCCCATTGAGAGAACAGCAAAAGTTTGCAGCGCTATTAAAAAAGCAAAGGGTGGCTGCTTTGAGGAATCTAAAATATAAAACATGTTTTCAGTTATTTCATAAGTTTTTCTTATGCACATGTTTCCACATGTTTTCATTCATAGTTTTGATGCCTTCACTGAGAATATACAATTTAAATAGTAATGAGAATAAAGAAAATGCATTGAATGAGAAGGTGTGTCCAAAACTTTTGGCCTGTACTGTATATTTTCCCAGAAGAACAAACGAACAATTTTCTATAAAAAAAAATCCTCCTGATTTAAAAGTCTATTAAATTATTCAACTTTTTAGTTTACAGTGCAGGTTGGAGTCATGTTGCAAACTCAAGTATTTCTGAATGAATGAAGTAATCATACACATGGATTAGAACAAATTGGTACAATAATCTACAGATGAGTCATTTCATTAGGCTACCTTACACGAAGTCCTTGGATAATTTCTGATATAAACATATAAACATCTTTTATACAATATTCATTATAGCATTGATTAATTCCAAAATACATGTACTGCTACACTCTAACTTCTATATGTATATAAAGAGCTGTTAGTGTTGTTTACTCAAAGATCCTTTTTTGTCGCTTTTACAAAGACCCAGGCGTCATTTAGCACTTCAAAATCTCGCGACAACATACCTGGGCTCGTTTGCTGGAAGTGACACCTGGGGCTCGGGACAAGAGCAGGAGACCGGGGACAAGGGGCGACTGTAAGATAGTTTTATCGTTTTTCAAATGCTACCGACTTTTGTCCGACGTGTTTGTAAGAGTGTGTATGTTTCGTTAAACGGTGACATCCCGGGACCGTTGGGGATTAAACCAGTTTGTCTTCTCCGTTTGACCGCTGTCAGTGTCCTACAGTTAGCCTTAGCCGTTAGCTCGCTAACAGCTAGTGCTATCAAGCTAATATTAAACATCGTTAGTCTGACAGTGTTTTAAACTCCAGAAAAGTTACTCTACATCTGAACGCAAACAACCCCGTCAGGATACGTTTGGGTATGTTTAAGTGCGTTAAGTTTAACTGAGGTTATGTTGACTTAAATACATGTTATTTACACAGCCGAAAGGAGGAAGTAGAAGCGTTAGCAGCTGCATTAACATGTATTTATCACCGGGAGAGTTTCTGCTCAGGGTACAACTTAGGTACAATATATTGATCCCTGACAATCGATTATCATCTGGAAGGCTAGTGAATGATATTTGCAACATTCTGCTTCTTTGAAGACTAATTTCGTGAGGTTTTTTGTCATGGTCAGTTCTTGGAAATTCCCAATTGAATGATGTTGCACCTTTTATGATCACCTTTGTGCAGGTAGTAGTAGCATACACCTACTAGCCATAACATTAGCAACACCTGTGCAATCAGTGGCTTAATAATGCATTAATCCCATCATATTTTCTACTCTCAGGAAGTTTGCTTCATATTGGCATGATCATACAGGTGGTAAATGTCACTGAAGTCCATTGGTGTATTCAGATTGCATTAATTTGCCTGGCTGTTTGGCATAAATTGAAATAAATCTACATATTATTGCAGTCTGTGTGGACTTCAGCTATGATAAATTAAGAGTCATATGTTACCTGATACAAAGAACATATTTGTTTATGCAAATGTTGATGAGAGGTGTACTGTGGGCACAGAAAGCAAACACTTGTGTAATCTTTAGTAGAGGAGTTCAGCAGGGAGAAGGTAAGGTGTTACAAGCAGAACAGTGTTATGTTCAATGGTGACTGTTGAGTGATTTTTGTTTGTAAAGAAGACTCACCGACACTGTAATTTGATGGTTTTCCGCTGTGTTGTGCTCTCTGAGGCGGTGAGGATGTCTTTGAATGACGAGGGTTACGTGGTTCGGATCAGAGGGCTTCCCTGGTCCTGTACCCAGGAGGAGGTTGCCAGTTTCTTCTCTGGTGAGAATACACACGTCTGTCTTTATATTTTGAGGTATAACAATTTTTAATGTATGTAAGACAGGGGTGTCAAACTGAACCGCAGCAAAGGCCATAATCTGGATTTAGGTCTAACCTGGGGGCCAAACAGGGTTAACATTTAACCCAAACTGTCAACCTCATTTTCAAAAAATATGTAACAAAATAATTATAAATCATTTGGAAATTTAAAAAAGATTTAAAAAAAAATGTTTAAAGGCAATCTGAGATAGAATAAATTATTTAATTTTTTTTTATTCTATTTTTATTAATTAGTTCAAAAGATCAGAGCATGATATTAAAAACAGAAAAATAATGCTTTTTAAGAGCAAATAGATGACAACATCGAAATCAGGTTTGAAAGGTCAAAATATGACTTAAAATTTAAAATTGGAATCTAAAGTATAAAAATGACACAAGTCTAAATACTGAGTTGAACAAAATCAAAGCATGAAATAAAAAATCCAATCATGTTTGACTTGTAATCTTGAAATGAAAAATTAAAAACATGACATAAAACACCAAACATTCTTGACTTTTTATCAAATCTTACTCTTTAATTTCCCAGATTTTCGTGGTTTATTAAGGACATTTTAAATAATGGTGCTAAAGTTTACATTATTATACAGGAGGAAATCTGCAGACTTCATACTGATGGGCCAATAATAATACAAATATGACATGATTTTGTGGGCCAGATATAATTGTTTCATAATAATTGTTGCCTTGAGTTTGACACTTGTGATCTAAGACCAAGATTACATCAAAACAATGTACCTGAGTTGTCTCCAAGTAAGCATTCTTTCAACATAATGACCATCGATCGTACTTATTTACAGACTGTGACATTGTTGGGAAAGTAAACGGAGTATGTTTTACCTACTCTAAAGAAGGCCGTCCCAGTGGAGAGGCTTTCATTGAGCTGAAAACAGCAGAGGATTTCAAGAATGCCCTTTCCAAGGACCGTAAATACATGGGACACAGATACATAGAAGGTAAGAAACATGAACCCGACTGATGGGTCAGTGAGTGTGCACTCGGTTTGGAGTTTGTCTTGGAACAAAGTTTGCATAGTATCATATTACTGATACAAAAAAAAAAAATGCACCCCCCTCTATCACTTGCATTTATTGATCTACTCTGGATTAGTTATACCTGTTAAGTTATTGTTACAGTTTTGTTATTGTTGTTATATTGATTCCCCGTGTAATACACATTTCCCCGAAACTGTGTGAGCATCGTAAAACGTGTTATTGTGTGTAACTTACCTTTTATATTCTGACATGTGTATGTCGGTCTGTGTTTCTGCATAAGTGTTCAAGTCTAATCGCAGTGAGATGGACTGGGTGCTAAAACGTAGCGGTCCTGCTGACTATGACAGCTGCAGTGGCTGCATGCTGAGACTTAGAGGCCTTCCCTTTGGCTGCAGCAAAGAGGAGATTGTTCAGTTTTTCTCAGGTATAAACACAGTCAAAGTCTTGCTCTTTACCCTGTTTGATTGTATTACATCGTACAAATAAAGTAAGTATAGTAATCCTGAGCTAAGTGTTGACAGACATGCTGTTCAATGGAAGGTGGAAAAATAAGGATTTCAATGATCACAAGAATGTTTTGGCCTGTGCTATAGGATCATATAACAAGAAGACAGAAAATGCCAAAAGAAATATCTGATGCATGCAGGAGGTTTTTACATTCACTCTTCTCTAAGTCAGACCTGATGTAGCTCCACATCATATTATGAGCCTCTTCTGAATTTAGTAAAAACAAAAGAAAAGGAAAATCTGAAGTAACATACACTGTCAGGGTATGTCTTTTTACCACATGCTGAGTCACTAGTAAGACACGTGGTTAATATTTGTGGAATTTGTACCAAATTGTAGCCTCTGTGACATTTGGCAGCAGGTTTTAGTCAGATCAAAAGTGGCACATTGGTCATCTTCACATTTATAAGTTCCTTTTCAAAATACACCATGATAGCAAAAATGATCCTTGATGAACTTATAGTTGACTTACGAGTATTGACAACTACACTTTCCTTTTTTTAACTGATGAACTCAAGCAGTCTATGAAAACACTACCATGTAAAAGCAGATGTTTAGCAACACTTACCAGTGTCTCATGGCACAAAGTGTTTATTTGACATTTTGTTTACCTATCTGTGCATCATAGCCTGTACGTGCAGTTCATTGTTTATCTAGTGTAGTCATACAGTGTTGAGTTTTGTGTTATTTTAGTGTTGCTTCAATATTTTTACTGAGGTGATGTCAGTGTTATATAACCTAAATTCTAGAGTATCAAAGATAGAATGGGCTGGGTTGGTTTGACTGAGAGTAGACCCACGACACTGATCTGGGGTCAGTACTGTGATTCTGCTCATCGACAGCCTTCATGGAGAATAATCATCAATTTATTACTTTCATGATCAGGTTCATTTCATTTCCGATAACTGACAATTAAGTCAGGGGCCTAATTTTGGTTGGGGAATTCATTCACATTAAATTTTCCATCTGCTGACTCCAGGCCAGTTTATGTGTAATATTTCCCAACGGTCACCTTTCAGGGGGAAATTCAGTCATCTGAGATGCCCTTATATCTAAAGCAGTCATACCAGAAACTACAAGTTAGTCATACTTGCTGTGATGATATATGTTAAACCTTAAAGCTCGAGTAATGAAGAGGGTGATGTTCTATTTATTCTATACATCTATCAGTCTACCTACCGACCTATGTATTTATGTGTGCTTGGGTTGAAGGGTTGAGAATCGTGCCAAATGGGATTACTCTGCCAGTGGACTACCAGGGGAGGAGCACAGGGGAAGCCTTCGTGCAGTTTGCCTCAAAGGAGATAGCAGAAAAGGCTCTGGGGAAACACAAGGAAAGAATAGGGCACAGGTGGGACAGACGGGAAGAGGACGGGCTGGACTGGGTTTGGCTTCTATTGTAGAATTTAACGGGTGGTGATATTAGAGTAATTATGGTATTAATGGGATGGATTCTGTTATGGTTGAATGATAAGCATGGGTTGGTGATGTGCAAGAGTAATTATGGCAAAACAATGATTAAAGGGTTGAATTAATTGGGTGGGTCATGTAAGACTAACTACTAATGGGATGGAATTTATGGGATTATGTGTCGAAACAAAGGTGACTTGTTGAACATTGGGATGAAAACGGATGTATCTAAGGTAGAGATGGTTAAAGTATTTTATGACAAAAAGATAGTTACTCATTTTGTCATCTTAGTCTGGGAAGCTCTATATAATTGTATTCATCATTTGGCACTTTCTTTATATGTGTTTGAAATAACTCCTCAGATAATTTTCTGTGAAAGAGGGGATTAAGAGTCGAGGTGTAGCAGAAGACAGACGGGTTCTAAACCATTAAATTAAAAAGGCAGCATCTAAAAAGAGATTTATTTTTGACTTTCAGAGACATGAGGTGAGGTTGGTATAGATTCTCTTTATGCCAGCTCTTAGCCCTGCTAACAGTAAGGTTGTTCAGTGGTCAGACACCCAGCTCCTAGTTAAGAAACAACTATTGAGATACTAGACACTACTTTGTGTTTACTTTGTGATGTGTTAGTCATGTGTGTGTAACCCAGGTTCAGGCCATAACCCTCTCTTCTGCCCCTGCACGTGATGGGCCTTTCATATTGCAGGTACATAGAGATTTTCAAGAGCAGCCGTAATGAAATCAGAGCCTACTATGAGCTGCCCAGGCGGGGGATGGGCGGCCAGAGACCAGGGCCCTATGACAGACCCATGATGGGAGGCCCAAGAGGAGGGTTTTTCAGTGGTGGGCCTGGCCGTGGTGGGGCTCTGATGGACACAATGAGAAGTGGAGGGGGCTATGGAGGAGGTGTGTACTTTTCTATTCTACCTCTTTATATGGCTCCTTCAATGACAAAAGTCTAGTTAAAACAGTAGACCCATTATTCTTGCAACACATGTTGACTGATTTAAATATCAGTATTAATCTAATATCCCAAAACTATCATGTGTTTCCTTTAAACCAGATCATCCCTGTTTTTATGGCATGTTTGGTGGGAAGATTAACCATCAAATGTTTTTAAGCTTTAGATGATTAGTTTCTACTCGCTTGTCCGAGTTTTATTTTAGGTCATTATTTTGAATATGGCTGTTAGCAATCAAGCAAGACTGTGGTCCTGTGGTTGAGCAGTTTTTTGTCACCTCTGTCTGTTTTGCAGCAGTCATGATGGGGGAAAAAAAGGGTGCAGCTTCATCTGTTTAATGTTCATTTCTTGCTCCGTGTTGTTGTTTGTTTCCAGGTTACGGCAGCTTTGACAGCTACAATGGCTTCAACAACTACTGCTTTGGTAATGGCATGTTTGACGAGCGAGTGAGAGGAGAGAGGGGAGGAAGAGGTAAAGTCCAGTTATACCCAACTGCAGTGAAGTCATGCAAAGTTAATGTTTGAAAGCCTCTGTTTATACTCAGTTAATCAGTTTAGAAGTATCCCTTCTGAGAGGGGGCCACTTTTAAAAATAGATGTTTATGTTTTCAAGGCTGTTTCAACCTTTTTTTAATATGTATAATGACAGTATGGGGAAAAACTTTGGTCATGCATAAATAGTTCTAGGATTAGGTTTTATAAAGCTGTATTTGACTTGGTTAGTCACCTCCAAATTAAAGCTTAACTCACCAAAGAAGACTTAAATAAATTCTCAAACACATTTTTTTAGTGACTTATTGTTTCGTTATTGTCATATAGATTCAGAGGTGACTGTGTAAAGGTAGAGTTAATAACATGTTGATGTGTTTGTGCTCAGGGATGGGAGGCCATGGTTACGGTGGTCAAGATGATGGGTGTTCAGGTTTCCATAGCGGCCATTTTGTCCATATGAGAGGGTTACCTTTCCGTGCCACAGAGGGAGATGTTGCTAAAGTAAGAAGGCACCTCAAAAACACAAACTGATATCAGTTACCTATGATATTTCTCTTTAGAAACAAGTAAGTTGTTTTCAGGAAGGCTTATATAGGATATTATTTTGGCTTTATCTTGGAAGACCTCCTTAAAATCCACTGAAGATAGATCCACCGTACTTTGTTTCCATTCTGGTCATACTCTGCAGTGGTGTCAGTCAGTCAGTCAGTCAGTCAGTCAGTCAGTCAATCCATTAAGTTCTTTCATTTGAGTTAACACTCTCTAAGTTGTCGCTCTGACTTTGTAATGACCTCTTAATGTTTATAAACCTGGGATTGCTTGTTTACTTTCTGTTTATTGTGTAGTTCTTCTCTCCTTTAAATCCACTGAGGGTCCATATCGATGTGGCTCCCAACGGAAAGTCGACAGGAGAAGCTGATGTGGAGTTTCGCTCTCATGAAGACGCGGTGGCGGCCATGTCTAAAGACAAGAACCACATGCGTATGTTTTCTTTTCTCCTCTTTAGCTTATCCATATTGGTTTTTGTGACACCAGCAGGTAATGCTGTTTTACAGCAAAATCATGTCTAAAAATACTCTTGAATTAATCACAGAGGAGAGGATTGGTGACCAACAGAGGCAGAGTAACATCTCAAAGTTGCTCAAGATTGAAGGGATATTCCGGCGTAAAATTAATTTAGGGTCAGACACACCATAACACAGAGTTAAACACCCCGTTGAGAGATAAATGTTGCCGATCGCTTGTTTCTCTAGTTATACCAACTTTTGTAACGACCGCACGATAACAATACACAGCGGTCCCAGGAGCCACGGACTCAACCAAAACGCCACTCTATAGCCACAAATAATGCTCAGAACAGCACCTAACTTAATCAGGTGCTGTTCTGAGCATTATTTGTGGCTATAGGGTGGTATTTTGGTTGAGCGTGTGGCTACTGAGACCACTGTGTATTGCTATCATGCGGTCGTTACTAAAGTTGGTATTACTAGAGAAACAAGCGATCGGCAACATTCATCTCTCGAGGGGGTGTCTAACTCGTTGTTACGGTGTGTTTGACCATAACTTAATTTTACGCCGGAATATCCCTTTTAAAAAGGCATGGGTTTGAAGCATGACCATTTGAACAGAACCAACCTTTTAAGCAGCAGTTTGGGCACAAAAAGTCTTTGTTTTAACCTGCATCAGAATACTGAAATAAAAGTATTCATCGTGACAGTTTCATTTATTACTCATGAAAAAAAGTCAGTCAGTTTGTTTTCTCTCTACAGAGCATCGCTACATTGAGCTGTTTCTGAACTCAACAGCCAGTGGAGCTGCTGAAATGAGTGAGTTTTTATTCTCTGTCATTAAAGAGTAATGACAGAATACCCAATCGTGTGATAAATATGTGGCTGCAGTGCTGAATATCTGTACAGTGAAATGTAAATATACTCAACACTGACCTGTATTATCAAACTCTCAGGTCGTGGTGGTGGCGGTAGTTACTATGGTAGCTCTGGAGGGGGCGGAGGCTCACGAAGTGGCGGACTGCGAGGTGCATACTGATGATGTCATCCAACTTTCCTCATCCATCCTGACGTTTGTCTCGCGTGTCTTCAGGCCACCAGACTACAGTTTTAAAGCAGGAGAGCTGATCTGAAGTCAGTCATTGAGAAACTGTGTTTGATCTGAAACGTCACCTCAGACACTAGAAGTGATTTCAACAGAGCTCTGTGATGACACCATTCCCAAAGGCACATGAAGAACATCCTCATCTGTATGCACATGTTGGAGCTGTTGGAGGTGCTGGACAAAGGTGAGGGATCACCTGGGAAGTTTCTCATTCGTCTTTATTTCTGAAAGAGTTGGAGGTTTTAGTTTAGTTTGTCATGGTTCACATGAAAAGTCAATTGAGAAGAAATCCAATGTTTTCCTTTGACGAAGCTTTGAGTGGTATTGTTGAGGGGCTTATTGAATGTTAAGAGTGACTTAATCGGGATGCACTTTAAATAGTTGAAGCGAGTGATGCTCTGTAGGAGGTACAGCAATGAAATGTTGAACGCGCAGCTCTATTGTTAAGAGGTCTCTTTTCAACCTTATTTTGTTCATTTTTTGTTTCCTGTTTTAGATTGATGGTTAAACTTGTTTGAGCAGAACCCTGGATCCTTTTACGCTGTGATACAGATTCAAACTGAGGTTCAAATGATCTTTCCTGCTTTGAAAAAAAGTTTGATAAATGTGAGCCAGTGTGTTTTTTATGAATGTTTTCACAGTTCATTACAGAATATAAAACTAAGTTGAATATTGTATTCTGCTCTCAAAGAGCGGAAGTAAAATAAATCCTCTATATTTGAGCTGTAAGATAGCTAATGCAGCTGTTGTACATTTTGCTGAATAAATTTTATATTTAATTCTCTCGTGTGTCTTTTCCTCTCTTTGGTGACTCTAAAATCAAAAAGCTGATTTTACCAGATTTTTATTTTCAGGAACAAACACAACAGGAAATGTTCACACTTCAGCTAAATTAAAAATGAGGAAGACTCATTTTTTCAGAAACTTAATTTAATCAGAAACTGCTACACAGTCAAGGCAACATATTGTTGGCAACAGAGTTAATATTCCAACGGTTTCATCAAACCAAAGGGCCACAGTGATTATCAACATTATGTATTTACAACATACTGTCAACACTGTACAAATCCCAATGAAAGCTGGGAGGTGTGTACGAGTGACACTGTACAAACATTTCAGGCCTGGCTGCAGTACAAGCATTTTCCTGAAGTACTAAATACCACTGATATGATAGATTCGTGCTTTTTATTAATATCTGAAACATGAAAATACTGATTAAAGTGAACACAGACCTGTTTTATCTCTGTGGGAATGAATACTTCCAGTTCTTGAAAAGTCTCAGGTTGTAAACATTGTATTTTGGTACGACACCAGAATGTGCAGAAGAACTCTAATCATAACCCATCCCTGAAGGATGTGCAATCAGTCATCAGTTTGACAGAAGAGAGGAAACACTTTCTTCAATCCAGATTTTAAAAAAGCTTCAAACTCCCTCTTGGAGGTAAAGAGCAGCAGTAGAACATGGGTTTCCTTCTGCACAGTTTACAAACAACTTCAAGTGAAAGTCCCATAAGTTCCTGGACTTTTTAAGTAAAAAATTAATGTGCATTTACACAAAATCAAAATAAATACTAAATGTAATCACACATCAGTTCATATAGGATTGGCAAGTGTTGAGATGCACTGTGTGGCTGTACTGTCAAGAGTGTAACACTGCAAGTCTGATTTGAACCACATGAAGTCAGTGAAGTGGTCATGTCACAAATTAGTCATCAGTGGTTCATTAAAAGAAGAGTAACCACAGATGAAACATCTGCTGCTCTTCTTGGTCCTTTTAGCAGCAGCATTCACTATTTCATGGTGAAATGTGCCTTTATTCTGCGCCACCTTGTCCTTGGCTAGTGTGAGCTAGTGTTGCTACTTTATCTCTCTCCTCTACAGAAGTGCTCCCTGTAGAAACGTAGGGCTAATTTTGGCAACATGACAAGCACATGTAGGAAAAACTGTTGCATTTACACATGCACAAATGGCACAAATTCTGTTCAACAACAAACAAAAAAAAGTCTGCTTCACTGAAAGAGGAACTAGTCTAGTCCTTGGGTCAGCAGGGACAACCTGCTGGGAGCAGCGAAAGGTTTGCAGAGAGGTCTCATTTCTCGCTGAATAAGGAGGAACACTGATCTGATTTCTCATTGTCAGAGCAGATGATGTATGTTTGCACAGTTTCCATGTGGTTCATGGGAAAAGTCTGAGCACAGACTGGAGGATTTCAGTCGAGTTCAGAGTGGAGCTGACTTGTTTTTGTGCCGGTGTCAATACCGCCTGTATGTTTCTGTTCACTGGAGGGTGGCGTCACAGTAACAAGGCCACAGTACTGGATGTATAACCCATATAATCTCATTAGTTTGGCTCTACCCCCCTGTATAGTTTGAGATTCGATGCATACAGTATAAAAATGCAATGCCATGTAGAGCTGAAGGTTTGTGTCAGAATAAATCAGCTGCGTTAGTTAGCTGTAGTGCTCGTCACAGTCAGTGCAGTTTCAGTCAGAAGTTGTTCCTCCTCTCTCTTCTCTGAATTTCATGGGGGAATTTACCAAAACACGACCTGCTGATCAGTGTCAGTGTGTGCCGTGAGTTACATACACATCCAAAACATCAGCTGTATGTAGAGATTTATACTTCATCAATAATCCTCACCCATCAAACTTTGTATCACACCTGTTGTGCCTTTTAGCACCTGGTTTGATTTTAGTGTGACCATCAGGAAGAGAACAAAACATTAGATGTTAGTGGTATAAGATCATGCTAACTCTTTTTATTACTACCCAAACAGTCCAGCTGTTTGCTCTGCTGTGTTCCCACCATGAAATATACTGTGGGAAAGCAGATATTATGTCCTTCATCAGGTTTTTACTAAGTCAGGTATAAACTGAGTTTTGGAGCTCTTTCGTGGTCAGGGAGCATTCTGAGCTTGTCCATGGATCCAATTTGCATATGATATTATTTAAATTTATTGTGAATTAATGGGGAAATTTATTTAAATCAAAGTTTGACTGCGAGCAGCAATGATTGTTTAAAATACTAGTGCAGACTAGAGATTTGTCTGTTGAGGATTTAAGACATGCTGGTCCACATGAAAGTGAACCATGAGCCTCCTTACAATCAAAAGAAAAATCAAACAGTGAGAACAGGATGATGCAGACACCTGTCTTTTTGTCTGTGCAGGACAACTGGTAAGTCGAATGGACTTAAAGGTTGATGTATTTGGGTCCTTTCTAGCAGCAAACGCCGGGTGAAGATAAGTGAGGTTGTGTACGCAGGACAGGAGCGTGGGGATTTCTTCAAGTCTGGTCACAGATTGATTGCGGCAGTCAGGGCAGCAGCGTGGGTGTTCTTCACGTTGGATTAGAGGAGCATCTCTGGAGGAGGAGGGCATGACAGGTGTCACACACTCGGACCGGTTTGGGCGAGGCGGGCAGAGGGAGCTCATTGTCCGAGCAGCTGTTACAGAAAATCTCCCCACAGTTCCTACAGTGGTGCTGGAGACGGACAGAAGAAGAGAGAGTCAGAAAAGCATCAGCGTGATGACGATGCTGCAATCTCAGCTGTTGCACAGCACTTCATGTGAGCTCTGACCTTGCGTCTTGAGATGGAGAACTCTTTCTCACACAGCTTGCAGTGGCTGGCATCCTTGTCCTTCAGCCAAACCTGACCCCCCTGAAACGGCATCACACATGGAGTTAACATGTTCATCATGATGAAGTGGTGTTTTTTTTTTTTTCCACCATTGTAGCTCACTGTCACTTTACCTGGAGAGCTTTGTTTGCTTCTTTGATGTCCTCAATCTTCAGTTTAGATCTAATTTCAACACAAAAATAAGACAGAGCTCTGTTAAGAAAATGAAAACTCTAACCAACAACAGTCTTTCTCTCAGAGTAAAAATTGGTTAAGATGGCCCCTGCTTTGATTTACCATTTCTGTCATATTCTGTTTATTGTAAACAAACAAATGACAGGAAAAACTCTTGACAAGCACTTGCACTGTCTGTTATTTCAAGAACTTTTTTTTTTATCTGAAACTCACGTGACGATGAAAACAACACTGAGCTACACGGTCTTCAAAGTCTGGGTGTTATCTAAAAGGAGGCACACTTAAACTCTTTCAGTTGAAACTATGACTGAGTACAGTTTGGTACGGATATTTTTTAACGCACATACTCGCTAAGTTTGGAGCCCAGTTCTTCTAGTGCTTGTTCTTGGTCCTCACAGATGCTTTTCAGCTGAATATTTTCATCTTGAAGACGATGAAACTCCTTGAAAAATGACCAAAAAACCCCAAGTAAAAACAAAAACAGAAGACGCGTATAAGATCAGATCAAATTAGATCACAGGAAAAAAAACAGGATTACATTTTTACCTTTTTCAGTCCATTTATCTGCAGCGCCTCTGTACTGAGCTGAGACACCGAGTCCCTCTCTCTCTCCAGATCATTCTGTAATGTCTGCCTCCATTCCCTCTCTATCTTCAGGTCTGTCTCCAGCTGCTGGCTACAAAATTGAACACAATATAACCAACAACACACAAAACAGACATCACACAGAGACAGATGAGGGGAAATGGTGAAGAGCAGGTAATAAAAGAGCATGCGTGTCTGTGTAGCTAAATTTAGTGTTGTTACGATACACATGAAAGATGTACAAACTAAGGTATGAGGTATGTTTTAACTGCTTGTATAGTGTTATTCCACTCTTGGTCAGTTGATCAGGGCTTTTCTAGCCAATCATCCCTCACACAGTTTAATGTAATTGTTATTGATGAAGTGTTGGTGTGTGTTTGTGCAGGAGTCTATTAGTGAATCTGTGTTCAGTTTCGCTTACAGTTGCCTCTCTCTGAGTTCGATCTGTCGCTGCAAGCTGTCCGCCTTGTTGGCAAAGTCTAACTTGAAGCGTCGGGTTCCTTCCTCAGCCTCTCTGCGGTTCCTCTCTGCATCCTGTAATCTGCACCATTATAACCAGGGACAAACTCAGGACCATGGAGAGAAAAACTGGGGGGGTAGGTTGATGGAGGGAGAGGGGAGAAAATAATAGAGGAGTATGGGAAGGATGGATGTTGTAGATTTGGTGGAGGATAACTCAGGGTAAATGATAAAAGAGGGTAGGGTTGAAGAGTAGCACCACAGAGTAAAACATAAAACAGCGCAGTGAGGATCAAAAAAGGAGTAAAGAGAAAAGAAAAGGAATACACAAGGATGTTGGTTTAAAATAAAGACATATGACAAAGCCATGAGAAAAACTGCCCTGTAGCCGATGAACATGTAAGTGAAGGTTGGTAGCTTTTAAACCTGATAGGTCTGTGCGCTCAGGTTAAGTGAGCTGAAGTTCAGCATCAGCATATTTTCCTGTTTAGTGATGTCCTACATGTTCGTATCATTTAAGTTTGGAAAGGATAGCAACAGCATTGATTTTCACCCAATAAGAAACTTCCCTCCAGTGTGTTTGGGCTTCATTTAACCTGGCTTTACATCAAGTTTTTCACCTTTGATACTGAGACGTTCAGAATACAATCCTTTCTCAGTTAAATCATATTATAAAATAGAAAGAAAAAGAAATTCAAACCACAGCCAACCACTTCAAAACACCTAGCTTTATTGATCACGATTGTAAAAGACAGTAGTTGTGAGTTTCCAACAGATGAACCGAGCATCTACTCTTCAACAAACTGAGAGGTGTTACTGAACTATGAACATGGAGTTAGGATAAGGAGATGACTACCTCCTCCTCTATCACAAAACGTCATCAATATGCTGAGACGAGACACGTTAACACATTCAGAATCCTTTGACAGAAGCTCCAGAGGTTTACAGCAGTGGAGGTACACTCGTGTCTGTTGTGTCTATTCTACAGAAACACAGCGTGTGAAGTGAAGTCAAGCTGCTGGTCTCACTGAGATGTTAGTATCTGCTAAAACCTGACTTAACCCGACAATTTTTAGCTATGTTGAATCTCCAAAAGGTTGAAGTGCAAACAAGGAGACCGTGTTTCAAGTCTCTCTTTGTTACAGTACAGAGCACTCTGCTATTTTATTTGAGTTTAAAAAGTGGTGTCCATGGTGCACCACGACTTGCTGCCAACGATTTTACAAAAAAACCTTTGAAGTGATGATGCAAAGGACAAAACATCTGAAATCTCTTTTTACTGCTCACACTACAGAGTGCACTACTGGATGTGTATTACAGAGCGGTGAGAGAGTGAACAAAGGGCTGATTTCAGATGCAGCGAGGGTCATCACAGCCAGTCAGAAGCAGGTCAGGAGGTGCATCACATGCAGAGCAAAAACTGGCAACACATTACAAGCTAAAGGCTGCACAAGCAAACGTTCCTTCTGACTGAAGATGTTCACCGCTGACTGTCTGTGGTGAGCTCTTAACAAAAATATCCAGTAGTTTTAATGTTCCCTCTCAAACTAGACCTAAAGCACAAGCAGATATTCAGTAAACAGACACCTAACTTAGTTTCACTCACCCCACTCAGTGGCTATTCCATCGATATATAAGTTTAAACTCTCATTAAAGCTTTTATTAGAGTCCAACATCTGACATTTTTGTGGACTTTTCACTCCTAGAGGCAAAAAACTTAAAGGACGAATAAAGTTCATCAAAGAGATTTACACCAGAAATGATCAGACTTGTTCAAAAAAGTGAAACTAAATGTCAAACACTCACTCTAAAGCAAAGTGATGTTAGTCCAATAAATCAATTTCTACATATTAAAGGAGTCAGTAGTTTAAAATAAGAGAGAAAGCCTACTAAACTCCCTTTGACTCAAAGTGAACAAAACCTACAACCCTGTTACTACACCTCAGAGCTCAAAATTTCACTATCTCTCTACCTCTGTTACTGCATATAGACCAACAATGACGGAGCAGTAGTAGCATATGTTTGAATGTTTGTGTGCACTATCAGCACACAAAGAAATCAGTACAGGAAATAAGTTAAAATGTGACTCCAGTTTCTATTAAAGACAGTTCTCTGAGCAGCAAACCAAAATATTTACATCAAACCTATATTTGTGTCCCAGCAGAGTGGTCTGTGCGGGACTTAACTCAAGATCTTGAATCGTGTTAAAGTGGTCTTTTGAAATCACAGCACTCTGCTGATGATGATCACGTCTCAGTAACTAAACCCTGCATTAAGATTTCACCTGATTCTGTGGTGTTGTGTGCAAAAAAACAGGAATGTTCCTTTAAGTTAAAGTCCATGTTATCATACAGTCTTAAGTTATTGTGAGTCTGTGAATGAGTGCATGTTTGTCCTCAGAAGGAGATGTCCTTGACTAGCTTGTACTGGTGCTCTGTGTCTGTGCTGGCACACTTTACAAAAGACATAGCAAGCGTTCTGGTCTGACTGAGGAGATCCTTATCACTGCACCAGGGAGCAAGGGGAGAAGCAGGGGGGAAAATAATGAAACGATGAGGTTTGAAGGGAGCAAAATGAAGGATGGATGGATGGTTGGACAGGTGGTAAAAAAGATATGAACAGAAGGGAGGAAAGAAGGAGGAAAAAAAGAAGGAAGTAAGGATGTCAATACATCAGTATTCTAGGTGTTCCCGGTTAAACCGAAAACCTGAAGGGACTTTAACATCAGAAGCACAGCAGTAAGAGTAAATAAAATGCATCACAACACGGAAATCTGATTTCAGGCTCTCAGGTTCCCGCTGTTATCAGGTTTCCTCAAAGTGAGTTTGTTTGGCTCCACAGTAAGAGTGTGAGTGATGAGGAGAGGTGGGAAAGGAAGCAGGGAGAATATACTACATGTGTGAACAGATAGATGGATAAAACTAGAGCAGGTAAAAACTTTAAGGATGAAATGTGCACAGAGTAACACTAAAATACAGACATTAGAGACTCAAGATTGCCTACAGTTTCTTCTCTTACTCAGATTATTTCTCAACAGCCCACAGCTTGCTTGTTATTATGATATGAGATCTTTGTAACGAGGGTCTAAGCTCTGCCAGTCTACATGAACTTTCAGAGCAGCAAAAAGACATTCACAACCAATCACAAATAGGATGGAGCAGATTTAAACCAATGGGAGAGGGGAGGGGAGGGATGTGGACTCTTGTCTGGTAAAGATGGGGTGAGGAGGGATCAAACAGCATCAATACATCTGAAGACTTTATGACTCATATAAATTCAGAGCATTAAAGGCTTATGAAGCATTATGCATGAACATATCTGCAATCTGATACTAAAGACAGGATCTGCACTGGCAGCGTGAGAGGTCACATTCAGTTAGCTAGCTACAGAGGAGAAAACATGAAGAAACGGACAGCGTTAATGAGTTGTTGCTGTTTTTTTTTTTGCTGAGGCTGCTGAATGGCTGACCACAGACAGTAAATAGATCAGATACCAAGAGGAAAAAAGCTAAATATGACATAAATATGACCACACATAAAATGTGTTGTCACTGCTCAGTCTAGACGTGAGAAACACTCTGCACCTGTTACTCACTTACACACGCCGCTGCGCTACAACCACCTTAGCTCTGCATATATTCAAGGTGATCTGTGATCATTTCCTGCCGTAGTTCAGATTGCAGAGGATTGACATAGGTTTGTAATAGGGGTGTCCCAATACAACTTTTTGACTTCCAATACGATACTAATATTGTAGCCTTCAATATTGACCGATACTGATATTGATCCGATATTGGTACCAAAGTGTGCATGACAAGTTTTTCATTCGGCTGCAATGTCTTTTTCAGACTTAAACAAATACTGCCACAAGGCCAACATCACTCTTACTCCTTGCTACTTTGTTAGTACCATAGTACACACTATTATTGTGATTTTGTGGGCTGAGCTTGCTGAATCGGGGCACTGCTAGATAGGAGTGCTGGAGCAAATCTGGAATGGACTGCTTGTATCAGAGTGCTGATATCAGATAAAATCCGATATTCGTTTTTTTCTGATATTGGACCGATATCCAATATCCAATATCAATATCGTATCGGGCCACCCCTAGTCTGTATAAACCCCCACCCCCAAACAGATCACCTTTGTTTACAGTCAAAGCTGTGAACAGGTTCTCTGAGATGTCAAACTAACAGTCCTCAGTCAGACTGTAGTTCAAGGCTTTCACACACCAGCAGAGGACGTACTACAAAGGAAGGACTGAGGAGACAAGGTAGAAAAGGGATGGATCTGTTTCTGTCAGTGTGTGTCTGTTTAGCTTTTCACATGCATCTCACCTCTGCTCCAGCTGCTTCATGGTGGCAGTGATCTGATTGGTCTTCTCTTCCAGACGGCTGATCATATTGTTCTTCTTCTTCATCTCCTCATCAGACGACTGACAGACAAAGAGACGAGATCAGTCACACACTGATAACAACAGTACATGTTTTGTATGTGTATGTGTGTGTGTGTGTTTGTACCTGCATCTTCTGGTACATTTCTACATTGATGGCTTTAACGTCATCCAGCTGGTGTCTCAGTCCAATCAGTGTGTCCTGATAATGAAAAACAGAAAATCAGTTGTCCTAGCTTCGAAGTCTAGTTTGTCACATTTTGAGCTAATAGTTTGTCATCCAGCCATAAATTATATAAATAATAAATCAAAGATAACTGTATTATTTATATGCATGCATGACACTCATGTATTTTAATGATGCAGAGGTTACACTCCAGTCCATCAGCTGATTCACCTGGTGGTTTTGTGTCATGACATCATGCCGCAGTATCATGACGCCACAGTATCTGAATGTCACAGCTTGGCTCTGAATGTTAGCTGGTGGTGTTTGTGTAGCAGAGTTCACATGTTGGTGTGGAGGGCAGCCACAGGGACGGGCACAGGGGTGGGCAAGCTACTACAGCATGTGAGCAAGAGCTGGCAGGTTTATTATGATTGTTATGTAAATGACCATGTGCTCCCTCGGTCTAATGACATTCCTAAAGGGCCAACATTATGAGCCAAAAATTACTGACTGTGCCTCTTTCATCTGCTTAGGCAGTTCCCGGTAAGTTTTGTTTCTCTAACTAAATAATATTAATCTACTTAGTACGTTGATGTTTTGTTTTAGTCGAAGGAAAACGTATTTCTGCCAACCTGTTTTTCATGAATATCTTTTTCCAGAAGTTTCATAGCCAGCTCCATTTCCTGTTTCATAGACACCTGAACGACCAGCTCATTCTCCACATCCTAAGGCATGAGAAGACCAAATGTGTACATTTGTGTTATTTGTAATTATGCTCTCACTTTAGTGTATTTTTAAAACACACTGAATACACAGAGTCAGAGTCTGACCTGTCTGAGCTGACACTCCTCCTTCAGTTGTCTTCGAGCCTCGTTGTACATTTCATCCAAACCCTGACGAGACTGTCTGTACGTGTCTCTCTCCACCGACACATCTCCTTGAGTGACCTAGATGAATAACATTGATTTAAATTAAGGGCAAATATAAAGTAAAGCCAGGGCAAAAACATAAACTTAATACAAGTCTCTCTCTTTTCGTTGTTTGTGCCCATGTGACTGTATACCTCTAACTGTTGTTGTGCCTTCAGCAGAATCAGACTGTTTTCACTCCTCAGCTGCTGGTTTTCTTCCTGCAGTTTGATGATGTTGTTCTTGGCAATGGCTAACTGCAAACACAAACACAGAATAACAGTTTAAAACCAACAATACTTTGACTCCATATGAACATATTTGATTAAAAGATCACTAAATGATTACTTCACAGGTAATAAGAGCAGATTCAGAGTTTGTAACCAGTCAAACATAACAAAAGCATGTGATTGGTGATGTAGAAAAGCTCATTTAACTCCGAGGTCACTGATATTATGAGTGTGGATCTTACCTCCTCTATGAGCTTGGAGTTGGACTTCTCCAGAGAGTCCACTCGACCTTGAAGACCATGAACTGTGGAGCTTCATGAACAAAGAAAAAAAACCATGATAAACTTCAATTTAAGATCATGGTACTCGTTACAGGATTTCCCTAACTCGAGAATTAGCTCTATCATAGCTGCAGATGGTAGTCCTCTCCATCTGTAACCTAATCTCAGGCAGCAGATCAGTTTTGGTCGACTCACATAGAAAGTGAGAAAAGAAAAAAAAGCACAGAGGAAATGTCACAGATTGTTTGTCTTTTAATGAGTCTGTCTGTGGGGACAGATGGCATACACGTGCACTTATAACAAACAGACCTCTCCAAAGCTAAACTCTCTGTAAACCAGATCCCTTCAATAAGAAATCAGCCATCATGGCTCCTGCCTGTGATTAGAGGCACCATAACAATTTAACATCTGACAATAGACAGATATACAATCAAATATGACTTAGACACAGATTCCATGAGAGTTGGGATACTGTGTAAGATATTAATTGAAACTTTTGACGTTTTTCAAATCATTTAAACCCCGATTGAAAGTAGTGATTAAACAACACATTAAATGTTAAAAATGAACATTTCATTGTGTTACGGATTATACACTCTCATTTTAGATTTAATGCCAGCAACACATTTCAAAGAAGTTGGGAGAGGGGTAAGCTTAACACTGTAATGCATCAGCTGTTCTTTTTTCAGTACTCTGTAAACGTTTGTCCACACAGGAAGCCAGTTTGTAAAGTAAAATCTTGTCCCATTTTAGCCTGATGTCAGTTGCTGATAAGTTTGGGGGTCTCCTTTGTCATCTCTTTTTGTGTTATGAAGCACCAAATGTTTTTGAAGGGGATGAGCAAGTGCTGCAGGCGAGCAGTTCAGCGCCAGGACTCTTCTACTACAGAGTCATGCTGTATTTATATATGGGCATTACCAAGTGTGGCATCCTCTTGCTTAAATGTGTAAAATCTTGGCTGCAAAAAGGGATTCCATTATGTTCCTCATTAAGTGAGCCTTCTCAGAAATGTTAACTACCCATGCCATGAGCAGGAGGGTGGCCCCTCTAATCTTTCCAGCAGAGGATGCAGCGTCCATGAATTCCAAAAATCAAAGTCAGATTTTAGTTTTTCACACCACAGTTGCCTCAGTGCATCTTTGATGGGCCAAAATAAGATGCATTTATGGATCATGAATGGTTTCCTTTATAGTTTCAACATCTGTAAACACAGGGACAAATTGTGTTTACAGACAGTGGTTTATGGAAGTGATTTTGAGCCCATGCAGAGATTTTCACTTAAGAGTCATGTGTTAATAATGTATGGCCACCTGAGGATCATGGACAGTATGGGTTTTGGGCCTTGTCTCTTTATCACAGAGATTTCTCCAGTCTATGAATTTTTTTCATATAATGCACAACAAATAAAAGAACATTTAGGCTTTGATCATGAACTATTTGCTCACACACACTCTCACAGAGTGGTGGACCTGATTCCTCCAGACAGACTCAGCCTCTCTGAACGCTATTTTTTTACTCAGTCATGTTACTAACCTGTTGCAAATTAACCTCATAAGTCAGGAGATGTTTCTAAAGCTGCTATTTTAGCCTTACACAACATTTTACCTGTTAGTTTGTCCCTTTCCTTTCTGCTTTAAATCATGTTACTGGCAACAAATTCAAAATGAGCATAAATCTTCTTAAAACAGTCCATCCTTTAGGTTCAAAATTTGATATGTTATCTTTGCAATTTCAGCAATTAAATACAGGCATTCAATTGTTTGCCATGAACATTTTACAGGGCATCCCAACTCTTATATAGTAGAGGTCATATGTAGGGAGTAGAAGCCAATGAAAAACAATAATATTATGACATCCTATCCAGGAGTGTATGTTCAGTTTCAATAATCAGCTCTTAAATAAACAGCTCTTACTTTAGTTGCCGGTTCAGCTCCTCCACATAGTTCTTCTGATCCAAGATGGATGCAATTTGGCTATTTCTGTTGCCATGGAAACAGACATGAGACAGAACTCTGCATCAGATTTTGAGGCCATAGAGGTCAGGTGAATAAGAAAAACTGTAGAAATGGTTAAACCATACCTCTCCTCGCTCCTGTAATCATCAATGTCATTCTTCAAGTACATGGAGAAGTCAATAACCCCGACCTGGAATAAGAAAAACAAACTGAACTCAACACAATGTCCAGGTCACTTCACATGTACCTCATCAGCACTAAGTCAGGTGTGAACACAGTCTACTCAGGTTGTTTGCATTAGTATTTAAGTGTGTTTGCCATCGTGAAAATGTTCCACCCATGAGCTGAAACATGATACTAGCATGTCTGTTCTCCATCTGTCCGATGAAAAGATAAGGTGACAAAACAGAAAACTCTTATCTGGACTTTGTTTCCACATACTGAAGTCAATCTCTCTCTTCTCAGTTGAGGAAGTCAATTTACCAGTTTCATTGTTGACATTAGAGAAACATTTACTTCTTCTTTTATTTGATACAAACAAACTGAAAACAATGTCAGAGAATGCAGTAAAGCCAGCTCATCTAATACAAGCCAACACTGAAAAGACACATCTATGGCATGTTTCACTGCAGACCTTCCCTGAATTTTAATATGGTGTCCCAGAGTAGTAGTTACCTGAGAATCCAGGTCCTCGCCTTTGACACACAGGTTGGCATCGATGACATTCAGGCCCACCAGCAGGCCCACTATCACAGCTCCCTCCTCCTCCAGCATCAGAGCCGAATTCTCATAAAAATCACTGTGAAGGACACCAAACAACTTATCAAGCACTGAAGAAAACTCCAACAGTTACAGGATGTACAGTAGAGTGGCTAGAAAACCATGTTTTGGCTCAGCAATGGCGTTGATTTAGGTATGAATAACTTTGACGAAAGTAAGGCAAGGCAAGGCATCTTTATTTATATAGCGCATTTCATACCAAGGCAACCTAATGTGCTTTACATAAAACAAAACTTTTTTTTTTTTTAAAGAATAGCATAAAAACAAAAAAAAATACACAGTACAAATCTCTTTTTTGAAATAAACTGAAGGGATACTTACTTTGCTTAAAAGTCTACCTCTGATTAAATACTCTTATTCTGGTCTTTAGATAAAAGGTGTTATATTTTCACACCATCTGAAACTCATTCACATGACTAATGCTAGAGGATCTGTTGATGGAAATATAAATCTAGTTTGTCCAGCTTTAACCTCTGGGGGTCTAATTCATCTTCAGGGTTAAGTTTTTGGTGACAAACATATGAATTAGGTCACATTGTCTCTGTGTGTATCACCTTGCGTACAAACACTGTTTGCATGAGTACCTGAGCAGGTCTTTCCTTGTGATGAGGAGTCTCAGGTAATCAGCAAGCCGTTTCTGCATGAGGGCCAGACGCAGCCAAGCTCTGGCCCTGCCTAATGGAGTCCTGAAAGAAACACACAGACATGCAGGTGATAAGATTACATTCTTAAGAGGTTTCCAGAATTTTGGGACCAGTGGGTTTGGAGAACTGTTCGACTGGTTCTCAGTTTTGTTTCCTCTAGTTGTTTTAAACTTGTTTTGTCCTCGTCTGTGTTGCTGATTGTTAACTGCAGTTTACAGACTATTTGTCTCATCTGATTCACTGTTCCCTTTTTTCAAGAATCCAGTCCAAATATAGAAAATGAAATGTGTTTCTTTTAACTTCATCTCAGCAATCAAAATTGGATTGATCTGTGATATTATTCTGGAGACACCAACTCTAGTGTGTGTTGAAAAAACACTGCTCTGCTACATGTCTGTTGGTCTGACTCAGCACCACCAAAGGAAACACACTCTGAAACAGAACAACTGTTCCTTATTTTGCTGGATAAGACGAGACCTGAATATTACTCACTTCATTTGCCCCTGGAAGCTCTGCTGCGACAGATAACTGAGTAATAACAGAGTAAAGCCTTATGTGGAAATCACGTGTACGATTGAGATGAAGCACCAGCCTGCTCACTGTATCCACCAAAGGACACTACATGAATATTAACCATAGCTTTTACGGTTAGAATACCAGAACCAAAACTGATGAGTAACTTACTACTATCTAACTCCCACTGCTCTTGCAGCAACGTAGAAACAAAAGAAAGAGAAGTAGAGAAACAGATATAAGGAACAGGCAAAGCTGAAACGAGCAGAAAGGTGAAGTGAAAGTAAATCGCGCTCAGGTGTTTAACTGCTCTGGCTTATGTCTTTGAGTGGGAATGTCAAAGCTGCCATTTCTCCTGCATACTGCCATGCTGTGTGTGCTCATGTATGTTCCCCTCACTTCAGTCCAGGCAGGTCTCGTACAGAGGCTGATATCTCTGCCGCTTCAGGACAAAGCTTCTCCACCAGCTCCAGGGGACCCCACAGAGACTTGTTAAAGCCGAGAAAGGACTTTTTCACTGCAGAGACATAAAAGGAGGAGAGACTTATCAGTCAGATGCACACTGGGGAATGACACTTTTTAAGGAGGCACAAAAAAACACCTGTGCAGCTCAGACAGAGAGCGCTGACAGGGTGAGGTGTTGCCAATTTAGCAAAACACCCACACAGTTCTTTGTTTTTTATACCTCTGAGGCCGTGTTTGAGGCAGTGCTCCATGACAACAAAGAACTGCTGGAGAGGCGGGTAGTCTGAGTCCAGTGTGCGTCCAAAGCTCAGAGCCGACTCGATCAGTCCTTTAATACTCAGCTTGGCCATGTTCAGCAGGTTGGCCCTCTCCATGGCCATAGGGTCTCTCATGGCTGCAGAGAAGAAACATGAACAAACACAAACACTTTGGAATACGCTTAAAAACAAAAGTCAGGTTTAAGAATATCTTAAAGTAACCATTTTCTACACAAATTTAGGAAATTAAGTTTTGTTTTATTCCCCCAAGAAGTATTAAATATGAGTCTCTAATTTGCAAGGAAGGGTCAGGACTAGATAAGCTTTTTGCTTCCTTCAGTTCCTTCTCAAACTGTTTATTTTTGACATACATATGTTGAGTTAATTCATCTTTGACATGTACAGTTGTTTGGTGTACATATGTATTATTTTGTTCAGTGTTTTGTTTTCTAGTTGTTCTTTGTTGTTCTTAAAGTTTGAGAAAAATAAAGAAGAAAGAAAGAAAGTGTGGTACTGTAACACTAAATTGATGGCTAAATTACAAATTGTATTAAAACTACCTCTAAATAAAAGGAGACATAAACAAGGACATGATGTAACATGATCCCCTTAAACATTTCAGCAACGGCAGCAAGCTTTTAAATCCGCTACGCCTGGACTTCTGGGTTAATGAACAATGTCACACATGAAACAAAGTCAGGTGACAATGTTGCAGGGTGCATAACCTGTCATTGTGTGGACATAACTGATACAACACTGTGTCGTCATGTACTTATTGGCAGAAACTTCAATCTCTGACCATACCTCAAATTTGTGTTTCAGTTTTTATCTACCAATACCCATATTGTGCATCCATAGTACTCAAATTCTGACTCAAAGAGTAAATTATAGTAGATATTCAAGTGGCTTGTATGTACTGCAAAGTTACTGACTCTGTAGCGATATCAACAAACATGAATAACATATTGACTCAAAAAGCCCCGGGGAGGAAAGGCAGGACATTTTCCATTAGCACCAGTGCAACATGTGATACCTCAGGAAGTATATCTGTACCCCTGACAGAGGAGGATGCAGCATCAAAGCATGAGAGCTGCACAGATCTATGAAAAATCAATTCGCCACACACACACGCAGAGGATGGTGAGGTAATGCTGTGGATGTGGAGGAGAAGATGTACCAGCCATCACATTTTCACAGCAGCTCAAACTGTTAACTCTGCTCCATTTAGCAGCAGACCGGATGATTGATTGTTCCTGAACACCTCAGGAGGAGGATTCATCTGTGAGAGGAGTCTGTGATAAGCATAGGGAGGGACGGGGGGTTCATTCATGTGTCCCGGACAAAATCAGATACTGGATGTCTGCAGAATCAAGGCCCCTTTTACACAAACACTCCTCCACTCTTTGCGTGAACCTAATGCCCCCTGATGCTGATAACACCATACCTTGGACGTTCCAGTCCCCGGGCAGAGACGTCCTGTGCTCCGACACTTTGGGGAGGACGTGAATGCTCCCTGAAATGGTCTCGGATGCCTTCCTGGCCAAAGCGAAGATAGGAGCCTGCCATCGCCCGTCTCCTCCGCCTACACCACCTCCACCTCCTTTAACAGTGCTGCTGCTGCTGCTGCTGTTGTTGGCTTTCTCCCCGACAGTCGATTTCTCCTCCTGCAGCCTCAAAATGCCAAACACCTGAGTTTTCTCCTTGCTGCTGTCCGCTTCAGACAGAGATAGGTCGTGGTCTGCAGGCGATGCCATGTTCACGTCCCTCTGAAATGACTACAGCTCGGTGCGAAAACAACCAGATTCATGCGGGATGCTAAGCGTTAGCGACCTTTAGCTGGATTTACAATTTAACCGGCGACCATTATGACAGCCGCACCATAAAAATACCTGTGTTACCACCGGGGCCGAAGCGCTGACAGCTCTGCCGAGAGACCAAAACCAAACGTCGCGTCGGACTCGTGCTGGAAAACGTAGGCGTCCGTCTACATGGTGAGGGTTAGCGGCGGTGACAGCGCGGACGGTCGCTCGGTTGGTTAAATAAGTCTTTAATGAGCATCACGGTGTGGGAAAGATTTGTTTACACCTCGCAAAGCTCACAGACAGATGGCTTCTGACTGTCCCGCTGCACCCTCCAGAGGGGCGGTGTCAAAAGGCTCACAAGACACAAAAGGAGCACTACGTAATGATTTAGGGGGTTGCCATGTTCAGGACGTGCCGCCCCCTGCTGGCTGAAGGCTGAACTGCACTGTGATGAACAGACTGGACACTAAAGACCCTGTCTGCATATCTCAGATGAAGGCCTTTACAAGAGTTCAATTTTAAAGGCATTTCCTTTTTCTATTATACTTTCATTTATTTGCAACTATTGCAAAACATGCATTTTTGACTTAAAGGGATATTCAGGTGTAAAATTAAGTTAGGGTCAAACACACCGTAATACCGAGTTAGACACCCCGTTGAGAGGTGAATGTTGCTAAACGCTTGCTTCTCTAGTTATACCAGCTCTAAAAACGACCACACAATAGCAATACAGAGAGCCACCCGCTCAACTGAAAAGCCACTCTATAGCCACAAATAATGCTCAGAACATCACCTAACTTCATCAACAGTACATATAGGGTCCCATCCATAGTACTAGCCAACTTTAACTACCAAATATTTTGTGAAATTTGACTTAAGTAGCACTGCAAATAAAACTGTTGAATGCAACGATACACAACAGTAATAACAGTGTAATACCTGATTTGTGCTGCACCTCACAGGCTGATGTATTTTTTAAGTAATTCTTCTTAGATTCTTTACTTTTTTTCTATTCAAGTGTGGTATCCTAATGCTTCTCTCTTTAAGTAAAAACCAGAAAAATTTCCTCATTTTAGGGTTTGACTGATCAATTTGGTTCTTTAATCAGGAACTTAATGGTAATCCCCTAAAAACATGTCTGTGTATTTTTGAAGCTGAGTCGTATTCCATTTGGAAAAATACAGTTATCTTTAATTTTTTTCTTTTTTTTTTCATTTTGAAAAAGGGGTTAACTTTTTCCCCAAAAAATATGTTTTGGTTTTTTTTTCATTACCTCTATTAAGAAGCACAGCTGAAGAGAACAGGAAAGAAGAAGAGAGTGGGTGAATATATGCAGCAAAGGGTCGTGGCCAGGAGTCGAACCAGCAACTGCTGTGACAAGGAAAACAGCCTTTGTATAATGGGCATGTTTAGACCACCTGGCCATTGGCGACCAAAAAAAGAATAAACTAAAACTTTGTATTATTGTGAAAGGTCAGAGTTGAAACAACTTTCAAAAAGCTGTTCAGGAGGAATAAATTAGCTTTAAATAATATTTAAAAGGGTCAAACTGTACATCACAACTTTGTGATGTCTGTAAATACCATATCGTGTAGGTTTTGGTTTGTGGCTTGTCCACAAAATTTTACATTGATCTGGTTTTGCTGGTAAACTAAGCCAAGCCAAATAAATCCTGCCTAATGCCCAACTTTACATGTATTGTTAAACTGGTATGGAGAACAATGTCAAAGAAAATCCAATGAAATTTGAATCATGAGGGGAAGTAGATTAAAAATATACAAAACTATGTTCACTTGATAAAGACTTGATAAAGGTTTCCCATGAAAAAAATTCTTTACATGAAATCTATGGCTGTGCTTAACTTTTTTCCCATTTCTAAAATTTCTGTGAAAATATTATTCAGCTTAATAAAATGAATCCATGAATACATTAATGTAATTATACAGGGTAAAGGGATGTCATTACATGCTTGAGGGATTGATTTGACCTGAAGTTTATAACCCAAGAAGTGTTGTTTACCAGTTTAAAGTTTAAAACAGCTCATTTGTGGCTGATAAAATAAAAATCTGATTATTATAACTTACCTTAGAATGATATTAGAGTATTGCACTGGTTCGACATGCTGATTGGTGATTTCTGTGAATGTTTTCTGATTGGAAGAATCATTTTTATTGCAGGCATTGCTCTTTAACCTTTATACTAACCTTTTATAAACCTAATGTCATTCTAGCGGTGATGTGAAGAGTGATCAGTGAGGTGATTTTTGAGACAAAGTGTTGTTGGGAGCTGAAAAGAAATGCCATCCTGTAATAGAAAGACTAAGTCACTCAGGTGGGACTGCCATCCTACCTTGACTGTATGCCAGCCGCTCCATACTCTCACTGTGAGTGATGCCCCATCGGTGGAGACTCTGGGGGGAGTACATGGCGAGTGAGACTGTCCTCTGCCCACTGCTACAAAGACAAAAGTAATCGTAACAGATCCTCGAGTCCTAAAGTGGCTCACTCTGGTCTGGTCTCTGTTTAAGTGGTGCCACACAGTCAAGTTTCCTCAGATTTCCCAGGAACAGCTGACCCTCCCTCCAGTGTGGTCAGGTTTGATCACAGTCTCAGGGAGTGCTGGGCATCTGCTAAGGTGCATGGGACAGTCTGAGACAAAAAGACAGTAGAAACAGAAATATTAAAACAAAGGGGGGATATGAATCCTGCTGTTAACATGTTGGTTCACAACTGCTTAACATCCAAGTGGAAAGCCTCTCAGCAAGTCAACCTGGATCCATTTTACTGCTAACTTACCATTTACATCACAAGCTAAAGCTTATGGATGAATAGACTAATGCTCAGTTTATATATAATGAGTCATTTAAAAAGTTTTCATTCAATATAAGCTCACAAAAAGTTCCTGTTGATAGTCTCTCCCTGTCACAGACCAGTAAAACACCACTCATCCATTCACCACAGTTTGAGACCATTACTAGCATGAATAATGTATGACAAGATGTTCTTCCCTCAGACATTTTTCTGAACGAGAATAAATCTTTAGTAAGAACTCAGTCATCACCAAGTCTGCCTTATAAAAGCCAAATGTAAAGAAGCAGTTTTACCTTTTCTGCAGAAGCAGCTCACGAGGAACATGTCCATATGTCCTCCGCCTCACTACTGTATAAAAGTTTAAGCCTCCACTCGCACAATCTGAACAATGTGAGCGCCATGACTACACACAGCAGCAGAAACTGTAGCAGCATGGAGGAAAGTAATCTGTATTATACAGATCACTGCTGCTAGACTTTTTTTTCTGCTTCTTTTCCTCTGTTTGCCATTATCACTCTCTCCCCCTCTCTCTCCCTCTCTCCCTCTAATAGCTCAGGGCTGACTGGGATCATATGACCTGTTTCTTGCAGATCTGTAAACTCTTTAGCTCTTTACTGCCTGGGTCAATTCTCTGAATTGCTGCTTTTTAGTTGCATCAGCAAAGAATTAAATTAAAATCTTTTTTCTTGTTTTATCTAACTATCTGTCACTATTTTTACTGTTTCAACCGGACTGTTAACTGTCTTAATGCAGTTTAACTATACTGCATGTTTCAGCCTACTAACATTTCTCCACTATGAAATATTGATGCATCCCTGTAACTGATTCAATATACACTCCCAGTTTAGGGAGGGAAGGGGAGACAACGTATGTCAATCAGAATCTCTAACATACAGCTTACAGAGATGATCGTCTGATTTCACATCCAACGTAAACAACCCAATCACTTTATCTTTGCATTATTCTCCACCTGCAGTGTCCTATTTCTTCAGTTCTGTCCATCTCACATCAGGGACTTATGAACCACACCTAAACAAACACACCACTGAACACCACTTTGATACAGGGAGGCATGTTTGTGTTCTCCATATGACCATGTTCATCACAGTAGGAACACACCCTTCAGCATGATAGACAGCTGCAGCAACCAATTCATTGTGTCCACTACAGCTTTTCCTACCAATAGGAGCGTAATGTTTTTTTATGTAGTATCAATCCTTTCGTGCTGCAGCAGTGCAGGATCTGTGTGATGCTATGTTACTGATTCTGATGCACTGATTAAACATGAGACAGCAGAAGAACTACACTCACAGAGATAGAAATAGCAGATTCAAGAGTCATCAGAGAAAAAAAAAAGTGCAGCTAGTACTATTTCAAGGTGTTTTCTCTATGAACATATTCAATGTTTTTTCATGTGGCTGCAACTCACCTCAAGCTGTAAAAGTAGAGATGCGATGAGTATTTTCTGCTTGTCAGCACTCGGTGGTCCACTCCAGAAAAGGCTAAGTCTATGCTCTGGTCCAGTGATTTGTGTATGAGGCAATGACTCGGTGGAAACACTCCAAGATGGACATGGTCTACTTCCTGGAAAACAATGTTCAGTCCAAGAGTCACAGTATCCCTTGGTGCCTATTCATCAAAAATGCAAAAATAATGTTTTTCTATCTATCTATCTATCTATCTATCTATCTATCTATCTATCTATCTATCTATCTATCATTTGTTCTGAGGGAGCGGTGCTGCAATGCTGTGAATGAAAATAAGCATCTATAGATCTGAAGCAGTACGCCGGTACTCGTTCTGGAGACATCACCAACAGAAACCACAACCATCACCCCACACAGCACCCAATGACAGGAGAGCGGGGAGCCTGAGAGAGGGGGAGGGGTTTGAGAGTAACACAGCAGAGAGAGAGAGAGAGAGAGAGAGAGAGAGATGGAGGAATCAGAGTACAAAGCAGGAAGAAGCATGCACATGAACTCACACAACCCCACCCACACACAAGCGTATCAATGATATGAATGAAACACGAAGAGATGCATTGGTAAATCCAGTACTGATCTATTCTGCTGCAGCTGCGACAGGGGCAGACATGTTGTATGTAGGTTATCCCTGACTGAGGATCTAACAGTGAGGGTGGTACTTGAGGAGTTTGAGTTGAGATTGGTGTGTGTTAGTGTGCGTGGAGGTGAATGACTTTGCAGCTAGGACAATGAAATAGTATCACTGCGGCTGGGAAACACTCCCCGGAAAGACCAGGCCTAATTTGGTCAAGCTTTATAAACTAAAAGGGTATTATCCAACTGTCCAATTCCCACCATCCTAAGATTGGATAATAAGTGTCCTCTACAGAAAAATATGATCATGTTCTCCAGCTGAAGTACTTTGGGTTGGATTTGTGATCTTCTGTCTACATCTGGATGAGTAACAGCAGCCCTCAATCTATGGCGTTAAAAGATTTTGTACAAGCAATAACATGTTATTTTATAATGGGTAAGATGAAGAAATTAACCTTTTCTGAAAGATGAAAGTAAACATTTTTGTAGTTATCCGGCTATGAGTATTCTAAAAGAAAATTGGTTAACACAAGCAGTTCACAAGCAAGTAGTTTTTCTTTTGTGAATGAACTTCAGTGGTTTCAAGCATTTTCAAACTTCCTTCACTCTGAAGTTTAAGAACTTGTTTAGATATATGTGCTGGACTTGGACACAAGACCCTCAGAAGTTGAGTGACATGTAATTATGACTTTTAATTGGTTAATGGAAAAGTCAGCCTGCCCACAATGACATTTATCAACCATTGGCTAAAACGTGTTTTTTGTTGTTGTTTGTATGTTTCTGAATGATCAGATTAAAGCTCCTGTGAGGATTTTAAACTGCCTATGAAGCAGACATTGAAGGAAATTAAAGGTGATGCTTCTTGAAAAGGTGCAAAAGAAATAATGATCAAAATCAAGATTCACCGATTTCATATAATTATCATAAGTTCCTTAAACTTCTACAGGGTGGGCGTCAAACAAGACTTACAACAGCCTGAAGAAGCAGACTCATTTTTACAGTTTCCATGGAAAACAGTCCTGATGAGGGACTTTTAAACAAAAACTTGATATAGTTTTGTGTGAAAAAGCTATACATACATGTACAAGACAAAAGCAGCAAAAACGTAACATGCATAGCTTGTCCACACAAACTTAAACTTCCTCACAGGTGCTTTAAAAGGTATTCATACACATTTTCAGCCTGGTCCTGGACCTATTAACAAAAACATGATTGGATTTTTAATTCAAATTCCTGTCAAAAGGAGGGAGGAGTTGTGGTGCTGTGGTTTTTACCTGCATTTCATAAGTTCTAACAGAGGGGTTCTTCTGTAAATTTCACTCAAAATGAAACCATTTTCTGTTTTCAAAACAAAGATATACAGCTCTACAAATAGTAACAACCTTGAAAATGCTGGTTTAAAAGAAATCTACATACTGGTATCTTTTTCAAGCACAAGCAGTTTCATAATAAATATATTAACAGGTATAAGTGGTAAAAAATAAAGTTACATGGTGAAATTTAAAGGGTTGTTAATAAAATAACGAGCCCTTTTACCAATCATACACCCCAATGCCTTTGAGTTGGCAGTTCAGTCCTCAAACTCAGCAGCGTAAAGCACTTGCTGGAATTTCATTCGCACTTCCATCCTTTTTTTGATGGTGAGCCTCTTCAGTGAGGGCAGAAGGCTGAGCAGGAACAGTTCGTCTTCATCTCTGAGGTTGGTGAGGGCGTCTGCAGAACTGATCTCAGTTTCTGTGGTTGTTTTTCTTTTACGCTTCAGAGAGACACCCATCTCCTGGTGACTGTTTTGAAAGGACTCCACCAGAGAACAGCTCGTACTGACAACAGGAAGGGGACAATGCTGCTCTTTCTTGTCTTTGCCTCGCTCCTTCTCCTGGTCATCACTGCTCCCAACCCCCTGTGTAGCATTAGATCCACATACAGCATTACAGGTCAGCCCAAGCTCAAATTTGTAGAATGAAAACTACAGCAATTCAGCTATATCAGAATATAAGAACTTCAAAGAAAGACTGCAAAGGAGATCTTTGGGGTACTTCAGACAAAACCTAAACCAAATATAGCTCTTGTTCAAAAAATGGAAATAACATCTAACATTTCATAGGTCTAGGGGCACAACTTGCCATGTTCTGCTCTATGCTTTGTAAATTGGTTAGCTGTACATCCACCTAAAAGGTTTTTATTTTGAAAACTAATCGGATATTCCGTGTTGTAGAGGTCTATGAAAAGTGGTCGATGTTCTGTCGAGTTATGCTCCGTTGTCGAACAAGCGACAGCTGCGCGAATTGGTAGCAGGTATCCCCTGTCGAGTGCTGTTTCATATAATTAACTTTACCTTAACCTATCCCTCATACTTACTGCATTTACAGAATATAGTGATGATGTCTTCATATTCCTAGGAAAGACTGATTAGACATTAAATAAAGGCAAAGTCTGAACTTTGAAGAGGCTTCCACTCGTAAATAAGTCACTTTGTGCAGCCTTTCTACACGCTTGACTGCTGAAGAAATGGGGAAAGAATGTCAATAAACTGTTGAATAAAACTTTCAGGGAGTATTATTACATCAACCAAGAGCATTGATTTGTGGTCGCACCCAGAATGTAGCTTTGCGCATGCGCAGATATGCTACGAACCTCTGAGAAGAACATCTAAATAGGTAACACTAATCGACAGAACACCGGTCTATCTAACTGCCCATTCCACTAGGACGCAGTAATTCAGCGTAGTTAGCAACAGCAACAACCAAAACAGTCAGCACTCACAATTTATGTGTTAAAATGTACTGAGGTATTAACTTGGAGAAGAATCCCAGTGTAAATATTGGCACATTAAAAACTGCACCTACATTTGTTCCATCACTCAGCTAGCATTTCATACTCAAACTTGTTGACATGTTGATACGCTGATTGAAAACTGGGATTGATACTGATGTTTAAAATGAGAGAATTAACGAACAGACAACAAACCTCGTCGGTGTCCCTCATCGCTCCTGCTCTGGGTTTGACATAGGCACTAAGCCAGCCTAGCTGGTGGTAGAGCGCGGGAACAGGCCTCTCCACCGGGTTCTCGTCGTCTGTCAGCGGGGGGAAACTTCTCTTGGCCATTCGCTTCTTCGCTTTGCAGAACTTGTCGCGGAGGTTTTTCCATTTCAGCTTCACCTCCTCCTCAGACTTCCCCATGTTGTTTGCTATTTCTTTCCATGACAAATGACCCTTCAGACTGTCTTTGTAGTCTCGCCGTGACTTGTCGTATAGATTAGGGTGGTCTCGTATCAAGTCTGCGAGCTTCTTTTCCATTGCGTTCATTTTGTTTCGTGTTTCGTCTTCACTTCGTCGCGAAGTCCTGCCGTCGGCAGATAACGACCGAGGTTCGTCTTCCCCTACCAACGGCCAGCAGAAGGAAGTAGAAAGCCCAAACATTTCAAAATAAAAGATCATTTTCGCTACAGCTAAACCGAGACTTTAACGTAAAGTCTTGCTTGAAGATTGTGTTTTTAGATAAGGAATAACTGTTAATTGCGAGAAAGTTTTCAAGACCAGCGATCCTTTTTATGTTGACTTGTGCTGTATTCAACAGTGTACTGTGGTTCCTACCTGTGGCCGCTAGATGGCGCATTTGTTCTTGTTTTTGACTGAATTTCTACTCCCCACTGTCACCGAGGTGACTCAGTTGATACAAAATTTAGATATTCCATTAAAGCACTGTCCTCTGTTTTTGAAACTTTAAGGACACTCTGTGAGGTTTCCTTTATTACTGTTATAACTTTGACAACCCCTTCTTTAAAGACTCAGTAAATGGACAAAAAACAAAACAAAAACACTTTGGAGTTTCTGTTAATGCCCATGACAACATTTTACTATCCTTCCTCTTTATTTTTCTCCTGGATTGAGACATAATGTCCCTGTTTTAATCTAAATCTAAATTTGTCCCTTTTTTTGTTTAAAAAGAAATGTTTGTGATATTAAGCCATGGTTGAGTTTGTGTTGATGGTTTCTGTGCTACACCTAGTTTTATTTCTGCATTCATTTACTGTGTGGTTTTGGATCTTTTGGTTAAGGATTAGTCTGGGTGATAATCAGAGGCCAGAGTTCAAATGAAACCTAATTTAAATGTTTTTAAAAGCCGACCACATGAAGACTCTAGGACAGAGTGATGAATACTGCCATCACTTCACCGGCTTACATTTACATGTGAAGGTTGTGATGGTGAGTAGTACAGATCAAACGTGGTCTCTGCTGGAGACAGTCTGAGTGTCACCTCCTTCATACACAGATTACAGGGAGAGCTCAGAGGATAAGAGCACTTCTGAGGACATCAGCTTTTATCACAGGGATGTCACCAGTGATGGCACACTCTGTCTCAGTGACAATTACAGCATATACTGAGTCACTAGACTTCTAACGTGGTGTCAAAAAGCAGTGGCAACGTGTTTTCACTGGATCCAGCCATGTTAGAACAGACAGAGCTAGTGATGGGTGGCTTTTGTTTCACTAAGAGAGACAGCATGAAGAACTGCAACATTTGTTCTCAATGAACAACTCAGCTGGAAAAATAATACTCTATAAAGATTATCATCGTTTCCAAGCATAGTGCACAGACCAAGTTTCTTTGTTTTAGACTTTTGTCATGATAAGCAACTTAACCCTCTAATGCATTAATGTTTTCTGCAGCGCAGCATCTTCCCCCCTGCAATGATTTTGAAGACAGTCTGTCAGCAGACAGAAGCAAACCACTAGGGAGCAGCGGAGACTACCTTCATGAGCTTCATAAGCAGAAAGTTTCTTATTTCTAAGTGACTCAACAGAAAAGCCATTTGGCAGCATCACCAAATGAAGGAGGAGGCATCATTCCTCTTTGTCAGGTGAATAGACACAAATTGTGTGCTCAAAAAAAGTACCGTTATGCAATCTTATGAGAAGCTCAGAGCAGCAGAATCTGCACTTTGCTTTTCTCCGCATTTGTTTTTTGAGTGAGACTCAATATGTCTTCATGACCAGATCAAGAAGCCTGAGATTTTTTTTTAAAACATCAAATCAAGACTCTGATTTGCTTTGTTTTTAGATGTTCGGAATACAACTTATGCTCAAGAGGGCCTGGAAATAAACTCTGAGCAACAGGCTTTGACGTACCATAAGGATTTCTCATGTCATTTCTGCTGTTCTTCTAAAGCTAATTACCTAGAGGGAGCCACAGGGTCTCAACCACATGGTCCTGCTCATCAAAACAATAAGCAAACATCATCTGCAAGTAATGCAGAGCTCCCAGTCCATCTGACACTAATGGAAACATTTTCAAGTCTGAACCCATTTATGAAGATATTGTACAATTGTCTGTTGACTCTTACTCAGTGTATGGTCATTTCTAACTTGTATTAAATCACCGGCTATTTTTTCACCCAGTCTAGAGACATACAGTTTATACTTGTTAATTTTTCCCACATAAGAGAGCGGACACTACCACAGCAGAGGGGCAGAGATTCATCCGACAGCCCCCAAACACAGAATAAACAATGGTCGATGAAAGGGTAATATGCTGGGCTGCAGAGTATTTATGGTAGCTCAAGTCTCACATTAGCAATATTTATTTTCCTATTCAGCCCCGCTGCTCTGTAATAGGCTTGTTTGCTTTAAATGGCTTGCAATACTTATAGTTCAAACACATGACTTTCACCCGTTGGGAGTACTGTTGTATTTCTTCCAAAACCAAAAATAACTGTTGCAGTGTAAAAAAATATTGGTCCTGGAAACTAACAGTTGCAATGTCAATGTTATAGTAACTCTATATTTTGTGTTCGAGTTGTCAAGCTATTGTGTAGTTTTCCAACGTCCGTATCAGACGATTCCGTTAAAATGCAGAATATGAGCCACTGTCTGTCGCCTTAAAAGTCTGACTTTAGTTTCCAATGACATCTTCAACTCAGATTTAGATGCAACTTTCACTTATTGATCACAGTGCAGGAGAGCTGGAAGGGGGAAAAATAATGTTTTTGTCACTTTCCCTGACGGCCTGTCCGGGAATTTGAACTGCTGACCCTTTTAGTCACAAGGTCACGTCTTCAAACATTTGGCTACTGTGCTCCACAAATGTTTAAAATTTGTACCGATGTATGTTTGTGCTGAATCTTGTCCTTCTGTTGAATGTGGAAGCGCCACACAAACTTTCTGAAAGTTTTTAAATTACCTCGGGGTTGTCGATTAAATTGACCTTCATTATCAGTTGCTTGGTTTTCGAAGCTCCAGTGAGGAACCATTTGCGTCAATTTTGTCGCTCCAAGTGGAAACAGTGGTGCCTCTTTGCTGATTTTGACCTTTGCATGTGTCAGTTTTGATTTGCTCTCACCCTGCTGTCTTTCATACTCAAATGCATCACCAATCCTGAATCTTTTAGGGGGAAAGGCTTCAAAAAGCTGCTTCTGCATCAAATTATCAATCATTTTGTCAACATTAGCAAAGGTTTCAGGCATGACAGATTGTTAAACAGTATTCTACAAGCTTCTTTAAAATGGTAATGTTTCTGCAGGTCATTAAAAGGTGTCTGCATTACTTTCAGTCTGTTTCAAAAAGAGTGAAAAAACTCTTCACTGGAGCTTAAATGCTGATATGTTAGTCTGTCTACCGTGTTATCTCCCCTCTCTGGGTGACTCAACATCCCAAACTGTCTCCACAGTCACACACACTCACAGAAACACACACATCCTCTGCTGTGTGAGTGATGTATTTATCTTTAGAGGAAAGGAGGAGAGAAAACAGAGGGAGATACTCGGCCTAAAAACAGACAGCAGACAGGTAGTCAGAGATAAATCTGAGAGTAAGTTTGTGTGCTTTAAAACATGCTGAGCCAGCTAGTCAGACAGTTAATGTAGGTCAGTAAACAGTGGTTTGGCTACAATATCTGAAAGACCACTTTAATAAGCGAGGGCTGCCTTCATGGTCGTCACAGTTTGGGAGTTATATCTTTTTGGTCTAGTCCTGATAATATAGAGATTACTATCTGGTGAATTGAGAAGACATTTTCCAACCTGAGTCATCCTCGGGTATCTGTGTGTGTGTGTGTGTGTGTGTGTGTGTGTGTGTGTGTGTGTGTGTGTGTGTGTGTGTGTGTGTGTGTGTGTGTGTGTGTGTGTGTGTGTGTGTCGTTGCAGATCAGCCCTTTCCCAGACTAGTGATAAGTGTCACCTCAGTGGGGGCTTTGACACCTGGGCGGGTGTAAAGGTGGGGTGAGGGGGGGGCGTGAGAAGTCTGGGGTTCACACCTCATTGACGGTAGGAGATGATCCTGTAACTAACCTCCTAATACACACACTCACACACAAGAAATCACGGGTCACTTTATAAAAACATAGCGCCAGTAGGTTTTTCGTGCTGTAATACATGTATGTTGAATGTTATGGAACTTTTTATCATCTACAAAAAGTTTTATTCCATGATCAACGTTTCAACTTTGCATCCAAAGCATCAAACTAAGCTCAGACTCCTGAAATCTGCCAGACTGTATCACACCATCTATAAAGTAAAACATTAAAGGACAAACATGAACATTTTTGTGTAGTTTTGGTCTCAAAGTTCCCCTAAACCCCTAAGTGCATCAGAGATCTTACGATTCAGCAGTGCAATAACCTTTCCCACAGACAGAGAAAAGAACCATTCCTGCATCACGAAGCCATGATCATGAATAGGGTTTACAAATATAGATAGAAATTTGATGGACTGGATAAAAACGTCATGTTCTGTTATGAGCTAAAACAGCACTTGAATATCTTTAAGATGACTTTCATGGTCCGTTAGATGAAAACCTACTGCTGCTTGGAGGCTAGAAAATCTGCCAGAAACCACAGGAATGATGCATTCACCATCTAAATAGACATTATTCCGTCAAAGTGGGTTGCTGCAGTGGATATGTGATTTTTTTGTCACAAACATACCCCACAGTGATGTAAAACTTGACTTTCTTTCTGTCACACGTCCACTGTGATGATTTCTGTCAGTGTATACAGAGGTAATATGATTGTTTGAGAAGCCGTTCAGTGTTGCTCTGAATGATATTCAGGCTTTCTCAAGCTGAATCAACTTTAAGATTTTCATTGTGGGACTTTTTACTTCCCTTCTGCACTCTCTGAAAATGTCCCTTAAAGTAGCTTGTTTGCACATGGATAAAGATGATGAGGACATATCTGAAGGGGTCAGGGGCCAATGAAGCGGATCAAACAGCTAACACTCTCACAGTAGGACACGTGATGAGGCTCCTGCTCCCGTAAACTCTCTCTTTCACAGACACATCCTGTTCCTCTTGACAGACACATGCTAAAGAGCCACTGAGGCTCATTTGTACTATTTAAAGCTTCTGTGAGAGTTTTTTTCTTCCCTTTCTTGTGCCCCTATCAGCATCTTGTTCTTGTTACGTATTGTGTTGACCC